TAAAAAAAAAAAAAAAAAAAGTAAATAAATAAAATTTAAAAAACGAAAAAAAAGATTGAATTAGATTGTGTTGTTTAAATCAATCAATCGATCAGAGTCTCAAGTTTAGTTTCTGACTAACAAACACAAGAATAGAAATCCGTCTCACGGTGGTGGAGAGGTACTGTGCTTTCAGCATCCATGCGTTCCTCCGTCTCACAGCCTCCCTTAAGTTCTGGCCAATAGAATTTAAGAGCCACTGTGATTTCTTCATCTTTTCCCTGCCGCAGCAAACTTAGAGGCCCAAATTGTACAGTTACTGGCTTTTGCCTACATGCGAAATAAACCTTTGTTGGGTTAATGGAATTTGTGGATTTATCTGTTAAAGCTGCTTGCAGTAACTTCCCTGACTAACGTGGAAATTAATTTCAGGGTTAATTTCTCATGCCAACTTCTCCCATTCATTGCAACACTCAGGCCTATATGGTAGCATTTTAATAATTATAGTTATTGAATTATAATACTGTTAAATTATTTTTAAATTGTTCTTAGCCTGTATGGCTTTTGAGGAACAACTCAGTGTTTGTTCCATATTAAAAACTGACTTATAGAATGAGTCAAGTCTTCCACTCCATGTCACCAATGTTATTAAAAGCTAAGAGGGGCTTCCCTGGTGTTGCAGTGGTTGAGAGTCCACCTGCTGATGCAGGAGACACAGGTTCGTGTTCCGGTCTGGGAAGATCCCACATGCTGCGGAGCGGCTGGGCCCGTGAGCCATGGCCGCAGAGCCTGCGCGTCCGGAGCCTGTGCTCCGCAGTGGGAGAGGCCACAACAGTGAGAGGCCCGCATACCGCAAAAAAAAAAAAAAAAAAAAATGCTAAGAGAAGCAGACAGCTGTCTGTTGGGGGTACTGATTTACAAATCACATGATAGATTAAGTTAATATGCTTCCAAAGTAGGAAATAAAATCTTCAAAAAGATAGATCCGGAAGGTGAAAATACAAAGACAGTGCTTACCTCCCGGCCCCTGATGAACACCCAGAGTGAGGGCAGGAATCATGCAGTCCTCTCACCTGTCCCCTTCCTGCTCTCCCTCAGACTTTCTTCCAAAGAACCTTGCATATCTCGCAAAGCTGCTCACAAAATGCAACAGATGGGAAATTACAAACAGAATTTCCTGAATATTACCTTCCTTTCATCTAAAGAACATGAGGAAGTTTTTACAAATAATTAATTAAATTCAATTAACTCTCAAGTATTACATTTCAGATGCCTGAATCCATAACCAAACCTTTCTAAGGAGGAGAAATCTATTACATGCACAAATATAGAGACTCAAACCTCAGTGACAATAAAGAACTTTCTGGAAAGGGGGCATTTGGGTCAAAGCCCGGTGTTTCCATTTCCCAGGCTCTGCTAGTCTTGGTTTCATCATTTCCTCATAAATATTCTGATGCAGCCCCTGTCAGCTGTGGCCCAACTCAACAACACCGTCCCTTTAAGCCACTCAAAGCAGGGGGAGTAGCTCACGAGGAGGGGTCTCTGGGAAAGTTTGACTCCCAGTTAAAACTTTTGAAGCAAGTCATTTCATTTGAGGAAATTTTCTTACTCAGGCTGGTTTCTAAAAACCTGAATTAGGCACAAAAGTAAACTTATCAGTACAGGTAATTGTCCAGGGGAAGTTGTGGAGTCACAACTTGGTGCAGGACCAAAGCAAGGTTATTAGGAGCCAGGCTCTGTCCTTCTCTCGTCTCAGCTCCCCTTCATACTGCCTGATGCGGTGCCCTCTGCCCCCAAAGCTCTGCAGCTTCCCCTCATGGTTGCAAAGTGGCTGCAACTGCCCCTGCACTTATACCCACTCAGGTTCCAGCCCTACCCAAAGACTTGAGTAGAACTCGGCCTGACCCTCATTGGCTCAGATTGGCTGACATGCTCATCTCTGAGCCAATTATGGTTGCTACGCTAACTAGCTTAGGTCATTCATGATCCACCCCTAGAGCCCATGTGAGCAGGGGATGAAGAGAAAGGGAACTGCCCGTAGGAATTCCCATATGTGCTTTCCCAGAAGAAGGGTGAAGAGATGCTTGTGGAAAGACAGACATACAGACAGATACCTATAATACCAACAGACCAAAGTTCCTCTGCCATAGTTGATTCTGGGTCACACTGATGTCCCTGAAAATGCTGAGACTCTGGGGAACTCAGGTGGGAAAACCATCCACCAAAATGAACCCTCAGTCTTACAAGTAGATGCTGATGCCCAGACTAGGGAAGTCTCCAGCAAGGGGGTGGCAGAGCCCTGCATAGCCAGGAGCCGGACCCTTTTTCAGACCACGTGTCCCATTGTGGGCCTGTGCCTGCCTCTGGGCTCTGAGAACTCTGAAGATTCCATATAGACTTCCTGTTAAGCATAGGGTTTAGCACAACGAGTTCATTTTTCTGGGTTGAAGGCATGTAACGTATGAGTTCTGTCTACTCTAGGCTGATTTTGGTCAGGGGCAAGCAACTCCTGTCTAATTATCTTTATTCTGTTTTCAGTCCCCGCAAGCAGTGGCTTAAGAGCACTTTGATGACAGGACAGTGTCAACCCAGGGTAAGTCGTGTGAGGGTGGCAGCCCTGGCCCAGAGGGAGCCCTCGAGATACACAGTTTACTGTACTGCTTGATATCAAGTCTCTCAGCTCATCTCAGAGAGGAAGTTCTTTTAAAACAGAGGTCATTAGCTTCTTGCCGTCCGCACGGTATTTCAGAGCGGGTCTCAGTGGGTCTAGGGCAGGGTTTTTCAACCTTGGCACTGTTGGCCCTCTGGACTGGATCATTCTCTGTTGTGGGGACCATCCTGTGCCCTGTGGGACGTTTAGCAGAATCCCTGGCTCTACCCACCCCTTGCCAGGAGCACCCTCTCCCAAGTCGTAACAACCAAAGTGTCTCCAGACATCACCCAGGGTCCCTGGGAGCAAAATCGCCCTGGGACACCTGGCCGGTGGAAGGAGCCTTTAAAACACAGCCTCCTAGAGCTCTCAGCGGCTGCTGACTTCATTAAACTGGGCTTCTCCCCACAGACACTGCAAAACATAGAGTGAATTTCAGCTGTTGGAGGTGGTTCATTAGGACGATGTGAACAAGAATAGCAATAAAATCATTCTTTTTTTCCCTCACTTAGTTATGTAAATGATTAGTTAAAATGGAAACTGCAGGGTCTGGAGACCCTGAATAGTGGAGCCTGGCGATATCATTCCTCAAACCCGGGAAATGCTCACCGACCTTTCCCTGGTGAAGGCCTCCTTCATGGGTTCAGATCTATGTGTGGATCCTCCTGATGGCCAGACACAGCACCATCTTGGTTGACACAAGCATCCTGGTAACACCGCCTCTCCAGGCATGTGAATTCATTGTGCCACAGAATCCTAGGGGGTTCTGAACATCACAAGGCAAGAACTAAAGAATAAAATTGATTGAGCTCACCCGGCCCAGCTGCACAGCGATGCCATGGGCTCAAACGTTTTACGGGTTGTGGGCCCCATCCTCCACCTTCAGCCCCATTCCCAGCCCACAGTGCTGTCACTCAGGCTGATCCCTCACCTGCTTACCCGGCGAGGCCCTGAACGCCTTTCGGCAGTTTCCAAAAATCAGACCCAAGCTCAAAATGATACCGTGTGGACAGAAAAAAGGATATTTAAAAGAGTCTTGTCACAGGGTAGTGACAACCGTTTTGGAAAATAATCTTAGAACTATATTAAGCCTTCATGCAGCACAGGGAAGAATGAAACATTCATTGTACAAATATTTGAACATAATGGAAAAAATCTGTTCAATGAATAAAATTAACTACACAGGTAATCACTCTGAAGCATAATGCACATATTTTGTTATGTCAATGTTTTTTCTATTTATTGGTTTGTTTTTTAGGTTATGTAACCTGAGTTAATTAGTACGAAGTTTGGCTGTGAATGACAGAACAGGAACCCCCTATAAATAGAGACAGTGTCTATTTCTCTCTTGTAAAAAGTGAGGTGATTCAGGTTCTCATGGTCTCCAGGGTGAGGGATGAGGCTCTAACACATCATCCCATGGCCGGAAGCCTCCGTTCCCAAGGTCTCCCGATAGCCTGCTCTTACAGCCATGTTCCAGCCTACAGGGAGAGGAGAGGGCTGGAAAGAGGCATTCTGTTCTCCTCAAAGACCCATCTCAGCACCTGCACATATGCTTCTGCTTCTGCAATGTGAGTCCCATTGGCCAGAACATGGTCACCTGGTCACATCTAGTTCAAGGAGGGCTGGGAAATGTCATTTTCACTTGAGGAAGCCGTAGCCCTCACTCAAACTTGGGGAAGAAGGAAAGAAAGGACAATGGGGGTTGGGGGACAGTAGTCTCCGCAGCCGTCCATGCTTTGGCCGCCCACATATCTGCTTGCCCAAGGGAGTCAAGTGCAAAGCCCCACCCAATGACTGCATCTGGCTCACAATCCAAGATCCCAGGGTAAAGCCCAGTCCGCTCCAACAGATATGGACGAGGTTCTTCATGGTTTTACAACCTACAAACTAAATCGGAAGTTCCCGGTTCCCAATACACCCAGCATAAGGTAGATAAGTAAGAACAGTAAGACGCCTGCAATAAAAATGCCCATTTGGAGAAAAGCAAGCTAATAAACACAATTATCATTGATCCATACACGTGAGCGAATCCTGGAGGCAGGAACAGTGAAGACACCCCTGCAGCCGTCGCCGCCCCCGGCCCCTACCTGCATGCTTGCTGTTGTCTCCCCTGCCACAGCTGACCGGCGTGGGTACCGGAGGGGATGCCCTTCCTGGGACCTGCATGGTTTTCACAGCTTGCTCCTTGTTTTCAGGGATTGCTTTGGGGTTGAACAATCGCAGGCTTTTTCAGACCATGCTGTGGCTTCTTTGGCAAAGCATTTTTTCAGAAACGTAAAGATTTCTGATCTATTTGTTTCCAGCCAGCTCTCTCTGTTGAGACATAGTTTATAACCCTGGAGCGTCTGGCCTGTCCTTGTTGGCCTCCACGCTCGCTTGGCCAACGTCTCCCGTCCCTCAGCACAATGGCACCGCCCACCTTGAGTCACCTGAAGCAACAGGCCTGGGTAGGAAGGCAACATCCTTAAAGTGACTTTTGCCACAAGGCTTACAAATTGGTAGGACGGGGCACTAGTTTTATTTTCCACTAAGTGCACTGCTTTGCACAGAACCTTTCCAATGATGGATGTCATCTGAGAGATGCAGCGGTTGCTTTTTTCAACCCTGCAAGGCTCCAAATTACCCAGTTCTCAGTCAATTTAGATTGCGGGCTTCAGGCAGAGATGGTCTCCATGAGCATAGCTGCCTTACCTTTCATGCCACACCCGCCCTGGCCAGCAGTCACCCATGTCCATCTCTTTTGTGGGACTTTGCTATAAGCAGTGAGAAGCAGCTAATGCATTTCTACATTATGAATTTCTCCTACCATTTCCTTCCTCAATCCTTGTTCAGAGCAAGGGCTGCTTTTCAAAAAACAACAGAGGAGAGTGGTTAGCAAATGCTTTGTTTCTGCCCTTATGGGTCACCTGTCCTCTAGCCCCCACTATCTGAGTCTCTGCCCCCGACCACATCCATAAGCCAACGCCCCAAGTTTCAGCTCTCCTACTTACAGCTTGCTTATCTTGGTCCTATATTTTGTATCAGTTAAGATTAGAATTGGCCATGAGTGACAGAAAATCCAAAATAGCATGGGCTTGAACAAGACATATTTAATTCTCTTTCAGTTTGAGTCCAGAGTAAGGGAGTCCTGGGATGGGTCCAGTAGGGCTCTCTGGTGTCAGAGACCTCCACCCCTTCTATCCTGTTGGTGTACCATGCGTCAGCTCTAACAACGATGTCCAGGATGGCTGCTCCTGTGCCAGCCATCACATTTTCATTCCAGCCAGTAGAAGAGAAGAGGGGGAAGAGATGAGTCTACATCTCCATGCTTCAAGGACACTTCCTGGAAGTTGCCTTCCATTGGCCAGAACGTAGTCACATGGCCATACCTGGCTGCAAGGGAGGGTGGGAAATGTCATTCCCATTCTCGATGGCCAAAAATTCAGGGTTCTTTTATTGAGGAAGGAGAAGTGACAGATATTGAGACAATTAGCAGTTGCTGCAGCCATTCCAGCACCAGTGTCCTCATGCTGGGAAAAATGAAAGGACAAGTCTTTCCTGTTTTTATATCTCCAGCATTCTTTCTCCTCTTCCTTCTTCCTGATGGCAGATTTGTTTGGCCTCTGACACACACATTTCAGGAGAGACAATGACTACCCAAGGTCTGCAGTCTTCTGCCCACATGCCATCTTTGAGGGGACTGTTGCTATGCCTACTTTACAAGTACATAAAATAAAATTTCCTGGGTTAGTGTTTCACTTGGGCAAGTTTTTTTTTTTAATACTTATTTATTTTATTTATTTTTGGCTGCGTTGGGTCTTAGTCACGGCACACAGGATCTCCACTGCAGTGCACAGGCTTCTCTCTCTCTAGTTGTGGTGCGTGGGCTTAGTTGCCCCGCGGCATGTGGGATCTTAGTTCCCCGACCAGGGATCGAACCTGCATCCCCTGCATTGGAAGGCAGATTCTTTACCACTGGGCCACCAGGGAAGTCCCTCACTTGGGAAAGTTTTTAACAACCAAGATAGCTTCTGTGTTTAGTAAATCATAAAAGTAAGCAAAACAAACTCCTCTGATGAAAAACTCCATAAAGCCAATGAGACCGTTAATATAAATGGAAACCCAAAATTGATGAAATGCAAAATAAATATTTAATTTATGAGATGGCAGCTATCTTTGGATTGCTAAGTAATTTGGAGGCTAATGTTCTTAATAAAATCACATTTTCTAGGAAAATATTTACTATTTCTGTTTTATTGCCTTCTTCGTTGCCATTAGTAAGACTTCGTTTAGTTCATGAGTGTACATAAATTCCACTGGAGGCTAACATTTTTTTCCAAAACCTCCTGGTGCTGATGTTTCTAATGGAAACCTTTCTAAGCATGTAGATAGACTTGAAAATGAACTTGTGGGGAGAACCGGCCAACATCCAAGAATGTTCCCTGCAGACATCAGTTGGGACAGGTGATAATATATAATATAGTCTGGAGTCTAAAGGGAAGAGTCAAAGTATTACATGCCAGGTATGCTTCATAAAATGCCAACAGGGCCAGTGTCTCCACTGCACAATATATCCCAAAGGCTTGAGACCTACGAAAACATATATATAGGATTCAAAATACACAAAGAAAGCAGCAAAATCAAAATTAATACATGTCTAATTAAGTACCTACAAAAAATAACATTTTGTTCTTGCTAAGTGTTAAATTTGGGATTCATGAATTTTTCATGAGTATTTTATTACTTTTGAGAACAATTAGTTGGAGAGAGCCTCATAATGCAAGAATTCACAAATACGCACAATTGCCCAGATTTCATAACCATTAGTAAAGGAGCCAAGTTACCCGTAGCCCAAAGCAAAGTTATCTAAAACCTTCCTTAACTGTATGGCAATGTATTTGTTTTTAACACAGAGTATGGATATATCTTAATACGTTTGTTACAATGTGGGGTTCCCAAAAAGAATGCCTTAGACAAGGGGGTCAGCATACTTTTTTTCTTTAAAAGGCCAGGAAGTAAATGTGTTGGGCTTTGTGAGCCATACGTCTCCATCGTGACTACTCAGCGCTGCTATGGCAGCACAAGGGGGTCATGGAGGCCCTTAAACAACATATGAGCACAGATGTGTGCCAATAAAACTTTATTCACAAAAACAGACGGTGGGCCACATCTACCCCATGGCCATAGTTTTCTGTCCCTTGCCTCAGATCCAGGAAGGTCCAGTGACCACCTATACTGATCCTTAGCAACCATTCAGACTCAAAAAGTATACTATCCTAAGATATTACTGTTATCCTGAATTACCCAGAAAATGTCCTATACTCTCCTCGGAATCATTCCAGCATTAGCATAGCTGTTCTACAAGACTGTGAGTCAGCTTTAGACTTTCCAATGCTTTGGAGATGGTTTTTTTTCTTTTTCAGTTACTCAAAGCACTAGGTGATACATGAAATAACTATGTACAAACTCTTGAGATCTCTTTAAAGTAAGCATTTGCACAGCTTCTTTAAAAAGAAAGGGAAAGTTTTAAGCTTGCGTCAGCTAAAACTTAGGTTTAATATAGCATTTCACTCATTTGACATAAATGTGCTTCTCCTGATTTATCCCTCAGGTTCAAGAGGGGACTAACAAAAGACTACGCTCATTAATTATATAAATTTTGTAGAATTTGCCACAGGCTTTTAGATATCTAATATATACATTAAAGTGTCCTGGTAGCATTTAAAATTCTGCTTAACCAGTTTCTTATCTATTACTCAGACAAGAAAACTGAGTATATATAGGGCACATGTCCTACTATTTACATTTTTTTAGATATTTAAAGGAAACTATCCCCGCCCCCACAATTTACACTAGCGGTAGGTGGACATGTAGAAATCAATTAAAGTTTGTGGTTTTGTGCGTAGATAAAATTTAATCAGAATTTATTCACTCAAAGGCTCCTAAGTTATTTTACTTACATAATACATGCAAGTTAAATTATGTCAGTTTGGTTTTTTTAGTATGTACTGCTCGCAAATTTTAAGTATAATCATTTCTCTCATGATAAAATATTTATCTATTTATCTACTCAAAAACTACAATGGGATTAATATTTATGTTTTTTAAAAAATCACTAAAAATACTGATCACAAATGTTCTAGAAAACATTTCCCTATTTTTCACTTAAACTGAAGCAGAATCATAATTATAGAAATTTAAATAAGCACTTAAAAAATCTGTTTCCCCAGTTTTTCCCAAATAGCTGGGGGTAATCAGTGGATTATATTTTATTTACCCTCAGAGTTGGGCTATGAGCAGCCATGAGCTGCTTCCACGAGCTGAAGCAAGGAATTACACAATTCAAGTTTCTCTAGAAAATCTGCCTGACAAATCGAATTTTTATAAAGTATAACCTGCTGTTTCACTTTGGTTCAAGATGTCTGGTCTGCAAATGTCCAAGCATTTAATCCAGACTCAGTTTAACCTCATTCAAGAACTAGAAGGTAATTTTTTTAAAAAGGAAGTACGGAAGAAACATTCTAGAATAGTGATTTCCCCTTCATGAGTTATTCCAGTTCACCATAATATGCAGTTTTTAAGAAACGAAAACCTGACTCAGAATATATTTCTTCGAGTGGAGCAGCCTTTGGCCCCAAAGAGTCCAGCAAGTCGGGCCACAGGTCATGTTCGGAGAAGGCGAGAGAACTGCGGGTCTCTACTCGCTCACACTTGCCCTGCTCTGCGTAGACGTGAGGTGGGTAATCAGGGTCTCCCTTGGGGATGTCAGCACCACTGAGCTGCTGCAGGGGAGCCGCGAGAGAAGGTAAATGCCATGGTGGGCAGGGCCTTGTCCCCACTGTCGCAGACGTTTCTACAGACTGGTCTTGAATGAGGTACCTAATTTCTTTGTCCCTGAGTTTCCTCATTTTATAATAAGGAAAATAATAGCACCTGCCCTGGTGGGCTGATGCAAGAACTGAGTTAATACCTTTTGATTCCTTAGGACAGGGCCTGGTACACAGTGATTATCATCCACGACTTTGCCAAGTAAAGTAACTCTTGGCAGACGACGCCCACCAAGCATTGATCTATTCCTTTGCACTTATTATTTCACAGGTCTGAGCCCCAACTTTCCTGCAACGTATGGGGCTCCTTAGGGTCGGAAGCAGCACCTGAAGCCTCTGTGTGCATCCCTCCCTGCGTGGGTTGGGGGCAGGCACACACAGAGAGCGTCTCTCCACAGCACCTGCTCCAGCCCCTTCCATTTAAACTACCCATGCGTTTGCCCCAACTCCCAAATCACTGTTTAATTTGCCCAAGAATAGAGGGTGGCTGTGTTGCGGAACCTTCCAGGAGAGACAATGTTATTGTCCAATAATTCCCTCCAGCACAGTCAACCCACATCTTTCATAATTTCACAGAAAGAGACCATTCACTGTTGTCTGAGGCTGTGCTGATCTGCAGAAATGCCCCTGGAATGAGGATTCCCATGAAAGCACTTGCTATGGGCTGAATTGTGTCCACCCAAACTCCTGTGTTGAAGCCCTAACCCCCAATGTGATGATATTTGGAGGTGTGGCCTTTGGGTGGTAATTAAGGTTACATGAGGTCATGAGGGTGGGGCCCTCACGACGGGAATAGAGTACTTATAAGAAGAGACACCCGAGAACTTGCTCTCTCTCCCTCTCTCTCTGCCACATAAGGACACAGCATGACAGTGACTGTCTGTGAACCAGGAGGACAGCTCTCACCAGAACCTGACCATGATGGTGCCCTGATCTCAGACCTCCAGCTTCCAGAACTGTGAGAAAAATAGTCTGCTGTTTAAGCTGCCTATCTGTGGTATTTTGTTATGCAGCCAAGCTGACTGACACAGTGATTAGGAGGAAGTGGCCCCAGGTCAGTGTGGGGCCAGATGGGGAAGCAGAACCCATTCACCACCAAGGAGAGGCCTTCCTACCTGACTCAGCATCCCTGCCATCACTCGTACCCTCACTTCCAGGGGTCCTCTGGGCACCACAGTATCCAGGTAAACCTACAAAGCAAAGAAGCAGAGTCCTAACACCACCAAGGACTCACAGCTCCCCCCAAGGTGATGGCCTCTTCTGGCCAGCACACAGGGGGCCACTGCTGGGCGGAGGGCTGCCAGAGCTCTCCTTGAGGGACAGCGGGCCAAGGGCAGTTTGATCAGATGTCACCTATGTGTGTGGTGGGAGAGAGGGCAGGCCCTGCCAGTTTTGACTGATAGACCCTTCAACGCCTTGGCTTCTAGGGAAGAAGTGAGCCGAGCAAGCCTGGCCAGTGGGCTTTGGGACCATTCCACAAACGATTCCCACAGGGAACCTCATCCCACTTCCTGCTCCCCCGACCACATGGCTCTTCCCCAGGTTCTAATTTCTCCTCTTCCTGTCCTTGCTGGGTCAGCCGCACCTCATGTGTGGTAGTGGGTGTGCTGCCCTCCACTCATTCACCGGGCAAGTGCTCGTGGACCTGGGTCTTGGGGTACCGGCTGAGGAGTGGGCTAGAGCAGTGAGGAGATGGACGCAGCATGCACCATGTGGGGGTTGCCTGGGAACCCCCAGATTCCCCAACTGCATCATGTAAGTCAGGCCCGCACAGGGTAAGGCGAGGCAGCCTCACTCCTGGGCTCATGCAGGCACGGGGCCAGCACCCAGGGTGAGAGAAACACAGTGATGACCGTGGAAGGTGCAAGAGAGACCTCACCCAGCCTGAGCCTGGGGACCTCTCAGGAGCAGGACCAGGAGACAGGAGCAGAGCGGCCAGGGAGAAGGAAGGGCCAGCAGAGGCCTGGAGGCTGGCGGGAGCTCAGACCTGCAGGTGGAGGACAGAGGCCACCACACGGCCTTAGGCCTCAGGGTTGCAGATTATTACAGGGCAATGGCCAGCCGCTGGGAAGGTTTAAACTGGAGAGTGACATGATACAATCTGTGTTCCTAAAACACTGATGGCTTTATGGCTGAAGTGACTTCTGATAACCCCTGGGTTTAGGGGTACTTAGTGCACTCCAGAAGATGTATGTAAAAAAATTGTAAAGCTTGGAATAATTTTACATGTCCATGAGGATACACACACACACACACACACACACACACACACACCCCCCTATCTGTACACATATCTATCTATATACATAAACGCAGCACACCCCACCATTGTGAATTGAACTAAACACACTTAGCGAAAGAGAGAGCAAGGGGTGACCCCTACAAACAGCCCTGAGGACCTGCTGCCCAGAGATGCTGTGCCCTCAGTTGGCCACCCTCCAGCTCCCGTGGGCCTCTAAGAGGACGATCCCAGAGACATAGGCCCTTCTTCCAACGTGCTCACGGGTCAGACACCACGGTCCTTCCCGGGCAGTGGAAGAGGCTGCGCCAGTCTCCAAACTTGCCTTGAGCCAATTTTAGGGCCTACCATATGCTGAATTTTGCTGCATTTTGCCCCGTGTGTGTCCACTCTGGCCTACAGCACCATTTCCCTTCACCCGGCCTCTCTGCACTGAGACCCTGGCTTCAGCTGTGTCCCCAGGACCTGTGAGTTCTCAAAGATACTTCGGCAAGAGTATTTGAATTTCATTTCAGGGAAGATTATTTTAATAATAATACTTAATGTTATTTTTCTAATATAATGGAGAAGGGTTTACATCTTTTACACTGAGTCCCCCCAACATGTTAATAAAAGCAAAAATTTTATAATTTGCTTTTATGAAACTTGAATGATGCTTTTTGTCTCTTGTTTGCTGAATCAAAGAGAACCTGATATGATCAATTGAGCTCCCTAAAAAATATTTGAAAGTGCTTATTGGCATGAATTGAAGTTTTCTTGATACTTTAAGAACTAATTTCAACAACGTGAGGCAATGAATTAGGTGCTAAGGTAAAATTTCGCAAACTGCCTCCACAATGCCTAACTTCTTTTTTGTTGTTGTTTTCAACCGAATCACTATTTTTATTTGTTGCTTTGGCAATATGTATATGTTATAAACGTTAATGTACTTCAAAATTGGTACTAATAAAAAACACCTCTTTTCTGTTTTATTTATAATGGCATTCTTTGTAGGATCTCATTTGTAAGGAAGGATTCTGCTGCTAGTAAGGTTTAGGGAAAAGATGGACCAGATGGCTTCAATGGCCCCCTTAGCTCAAAACTTCTACAAATCTGTAAACAATCAGAGCAAAAGAATATTCAGGCCTTCACCAAGTTCTTAGCTTCTCAGCAGCAAAGGAAAGTTGCCAGGGACTGAAAAACTCTGATGCTTTCAAGTCTAGATGTAGGTACTTTATTTACTTCTCATCTGTTTCCCACATTCACTTCTTTTGGCCTATTTGGATATTGGGTGGGTATGTTTTTTCTCACCTCCTCCCTTCCCAGTTTCCCATTTTCAGGGCTTCCCATGGCTATCAGGACAGTAAGGTAACTCTTTTCATGATAACATCTTCATCTGTACTTACAGGAGGAGGGTATTTGTTTCTCACACTTCTTGGATCAAAAAACGTGCCACGACCCTTAAATTTTTTAAAAAATGAAAAATTAATTAATTCAAGTAAAAAGAATGAAGTCTTCATTGGTTTCATATAAATTACCCAAGGATACAAACACACAGCCAGAAATTCTTGTAATCACATTGCCTTTTGTTTCTGCGCTAAAGGTATAATAATTCTAACGATAGCCGTGTAGGTGTTCATAGCTGAAATCCATGGGTGAGTTTTATAGTTGCTTTGTGGGGATGGAGCATGAGAATATAAGATTTTTGAGCCCCATCTTGGGTCCCCAAAATCCCTATAAGACTCATTTTGTGCCATGAGCATGGCCTCAAAGTCTGTGAATGAGACGCACGCAACCCCTAAGACTCAGGACCGGCTACGTAATTTGCAGCACCCAGTGCAAAATAAAAATGGGAGCCCCTTGTCCAGATACGCAGAATTTCAGGATGGTGACCGTGGAGCATTAACCAAGCACAGGGCCTCCCTGAGCACAGGGCCCTGTGGGACTGACCGGGTTCCACGCCTGTGAAGCTGGCCCTTCCAGGACCAGAGGGACACACCTATCATCCACAGGCCCTTTCAAGGATTCGTGGCACCACGTCTGCGCAAAAAAGAACAGCACATTTGTAATCTTGGTGCAAACTCAGCCTGAGAAAAGATAATGAATTATAGAGATCTTGAATTATTTTTTAGAAGTTTCCATCATAAAAACTGTGGCTCTTTGGACCTTGAGAACCTCGTTTAGTTCTTGTCAGAAAAGTAAATTTTTTGTTAAAATAATAGCTAGTTATACTAGTGAAGTCCAAATAAGGTCTGTGTTTGAGACCTGTGCTAATAGTGTTGTACCACAGTCAGTTTTCTGGTTTTGAAAGCATACGATGGTTATATACAGTGTTATTCTTGGGGGGAGCTGTGTGAAAGGTACACAGAAACTCTCTGAACTATTTTTACAACTTCTTGTGAGTCTGAAAAGTCATGTTAAAAAGCAAAGCCATAGTTGTAGAATTTGTACATGGAGTGTATAAAGGGGAGTTGGGGTTCCATTTGGCAGGAGGTATGGAATCACTGGGCTGGAATTTGCCCAGGGCGAAGGCCATTGCTCTTGATCTTACAGATGATCTCTATAAGAGATGGACACAGGGAAATGTATCTATCTGCGGCTGTTCTGAGAAGTGTCGTATTTGATCTGCACTATCAAATAACAACTCAGTAACAACCAACGATCACAATAACTAGGTAGACAGATGAGAAGGTTTTCACTGACTATGTGTTTGTTCTACCCATATCACAGAATCTTCTAGAAGGGCCGCCTCTCAAGGGAACCAGCTGTCAGTCATCAGTGAAGTCCCAGCAGGAGGGAGTGAGCTTGTGGAACTCACCAGAGTCCCCAGCACGAAGTGGACTTGGTCTGATGCACTTGGCGAAGATGGCAGCATTTCGCCTAAATCCTGGGGGAAAACGCTAGGGGAAACTCCGAAGACAACACGTCTCCCTCCAGTTGAAAACGAAGGCACAACCTTTCCCTGCTCAGATACTCATATGCAAATAAAACTGGCATTATGATGGGGGAGGTGGTGGAGTGGGAGTAGAAAAGGAAAGGTGGAGAGAAGCAAGGAAAAGGGACTATAGTGAAATGGAACTGCATGCCCCAGTGTGACTTGAAGACGTCGATTCTAACATTCTACCGATGACGTTATAGACACCTGACAATTGAATATGCCCACGGACAAGATCTAGAGGGTAACACAGACAAATGAAGTTGCTTAGATTTAGGGATAGGAGTGTGGACAATTTTTGCTTTGGGTTTCTATTATTTTAATATAAGCCCTTCAATCATGCAATAAAATTTCAAAGACAATAAAGCAGGCAATGGTCCTTAGCAACAGTTTTAAGATAGTTCATGTCTTGTCACAGATTTTAAAATATCAGGTTACCTGATAAATCATAAGTGACAACTTCACTTAGGGCAAGTATGCGAATGGCTGTCGACTCAACCAGCCACCACAGGTGCACTTGCTATTTGCAGGACATCATAAAGGGGACCCAGAGACACTCTAAGAAATAGAAGCCACAGGCCTTGGTGTCCTCCCCTCCTGCACGGGTCTGGTGAAAATGCAGTGGGATTATGCTCGTAGAGTGCAAACCCCAGGGCACGCTCAGTGGATCAGAGCTCTTAGTGTGCTTACCAGGAGCAATGCTCTGGCCTCCCGAAGCTTACAGACCAGTTAAGGAAAGAGAGGCCCCCGCCAGCCCCCCAGGAGTCTCTGCACTCCCTTCCCCTGGGAGCGTGGATTGGTGGGCAGATGCCCTCTGGACCTGGACCTGCTCACCCCAGCCAAGCACCTGCCCAATAAATGACGGCAGCCCTGGGTCAACTCGCTCTTTTTCAAAGTGGGATCATCGTCCTCTTAGAGAAGGGAAGGTTCAGCCAGTTCGGGAACAGGGTTTTAAATGACATTGAATTGCACAGCAAGAAAATTAGTCCCTTTCTAATTCCTCTTCCATACTCCTAATGACAACAGGAGAAAGTCTCCATCGGGTGCCAGCCTGGCTTGGCTCTCTCTCTCCTTCCACATTTTCTACCTGGAATTACTGGGTTCTATTTCTATGAGCACTTACCTGCTCTTTATACAAGCAAAACTGGTTTTTCATTTACAGTTGAAATATAAAATTTCCTATTTAAAGAAGTGTATTTCATTGGTATGCAAGTCCATTTAAAGAAAAACAAGTTTTTTAATACACTAGTGCAAGTGGCATCTGCATGTGGCAAAAAGTCGTAATGGTAGCAGTGGACGGACTGGAATGTGGGCCCCGGGACATCTGACACCTGAGCTGGGAGGCGAAGGCATGTGAGCTTGAGCAGAATCGCAGGGCCTTTGCAGGTGGGGCTGGGGTGGAGGCAGGTGTGGATCAGGCCTGCAGGGGATCATCCTGGGTTGGGGGCTGGGGGAGCAGCCAGGGTGTCCCCCACCAGGGGGACCATCAGCAAAGCCACCCCTCTGTTTCAACCCAAGCAGCAAATGAGCCACACTTACCTTAGCTCCCAGCATGGCACCTGCCTCGGCCGTGTTGATGGACAGGGCTGACATCTGATCCCTGACGAATGACCTTTCCTGCGGGACACAGGGAAAGAAATATGACAGGAGCTGAAATTACAGATGGCGGTAATAAATGCAGAGGGCAAGGAGTATCATCTCCCCCAGATGCCTTGTTCTGTGCCATCACAGAAGCATCCAGACACCTGTCCTATGAAGCAAGAGGACATACTTGGGGAGGGGATGCTTCTGTAATTGCTGGTTAGGAAGTGGAGTTTCTTGTTGTTCAGTGTTTCAGGTAAAGTGATGGTAAAAACAAAAACCAACCAACAAAACCAAAAGCCTTGTTTCACTAGGGCCTCGGCATCTAAAAGCCTGTTCTCATCCTCTTCGAAGACTCACAGTGAAGGCTCTTGGGGTCACCGCGGTTGGGCAGTGCTGTGTGCAGCCTTATCCATTCCTCATTCAACCAATATTCACTGAGGGACTCAGAAGCTGATGGGTGCTGGATTTCTTTCTGTAAGAGCTCACCAGCTTCCCCACAGAGAGGGCAGGCCCCTATGCTATCTTGCAGAACCTCTTGATTGGGGGTGTCCGGCGGCAGAGTAGGACAAGGTGGGTGGAATCAGTGATGGCATCTGGGATGAAGGAGTCTTCCCAGGAGTGTACAATGTCCCCGGTGTGTGAATGCAGGCTGGTATATTCAGGCTAATGGAGATGGGTGACGGAGAAGCGTGGACACTTTGGGGTAGCCTTATTTACCAATGGCTACAAAGACATAATTGGTAATTACTGTTAATAATACTAGTAGTAGCAGCCACTGTTCACTATGTACCAGTAATTACTAATTTACATGTGCTACTTGATTAAATTGTCCAATAAGCTTGAGAGAAAAAGAACATCATTGATCTCACTTTATATATGAAAGTCGAGGATTGCTTAGATTGATAAGACACAGTTTGGGAACCGAAACCCAGGTCTGTTGGATCCCCGTTCTCAGAGCCCTAAGATACTGTGGCAGGAATGGGGGTGTGTCCTGGGGTGTGTCCAGGGTGTGTCCTGGGTGAGTAGCAGATGAGAGGAAGGACATCTTCTGGGACAAGATGAGCTAGAGGCCCCTTGTCCCGGATTGGGTGCTCTTGTCCCTCTGACAGCTGGCCCTTGGTCAGTGCCACCAGACCCCCTCCAACCTGCCGGCCTAGCCCTGCAATGACCAAGCTTCCCTTCCACACACTCTGCTTCTGTAGCTGCTCCTCCTTCCCCAAAAGACAACCACTAAGCAGCTGGCCAACAAGAAGAGGCATCACCAGCTCCTCTCCCACCTCGGCAGTGCCCTCAGCCAGTGCCTGGGGAGACGCCCTCCCCACTGGCCTCCTTCCAGCCTGGCAGCTTCAGCTCCACCCACCAAGCGGGAGGCTAAGCACAGCCCCTGGCTCAGGAGCTCTTTCCATTTTCCTGGATGGTTCAGCATCAGAGCAGAGTAGAACTGCCTGAGGCAGGGGATTCTATCTGTCCCACAAAGAACTGTTGTTTGTCAGGATGGTTTCCTTCTTAAAATTACACAAACAAATCAGAACAGGTAGCTGCTATTCTCATAGCTGGGGGCAGGGGGCATTCCTTCTGGGAATCCAACTATCTAGCTAGTTCGGACCATGCCTCTACCTTCCTGTCCCCACGACAGGCAGGGCTGAACGCAGGCCTGCACAGACATGGACTTACAGATGTGTGCATCCTCAATGTGGTCCAAAGCTCTTACTTCCCCTTCCTTTGTGCCAACAGAGGAGAGAAAATGTGGGAAGAATCCTAGGAGTCTTGGTCAACCATCAGCTTCTCCAACCACCAATCATCTTTTAGAATATCTCCCTATTTATCCGAGCCAGGGACCAAAGTTAACTGGACTCTCTTTTCCCAAAATCATCTCACTAAGTCTCTTCCTTCCAGGAGAAAACCGAGGGTAGAGGTCTCAGACAACAGCAGATGAGGCAACCTGAATCTTCTGCGTGAAAGACAGTGTTCCCTTTTGACATTTCTTGGCTTTCGTCTTTTGGATCAAGCAGCCTTAGTTCAGAGTGAAGTGAAGACAGACAGGAGCGCTCACAGCGCTTGTATCTCACGGCCCAGCTGCTAACGAGGGCGATGGAGCCAAGGCAGGGCCAGGATCAGAGGCGGCAGGTGTGAAAACCCAGCAGTCGCTGGCTGATTCCACCTTGTGTTGGAGGCTTGTGAGGTGCTGTCATGGGCTTCGTCTTCCTTGACCCATAACCAACTTGTGAGGCTGGTTTCATCCTCCCTCGCTCACAGCTGAGGATGTGCAGAAATGACTCGCCCACCGTGACAAAGGCCCAGGGTTGTCCCTGCAGGGCCAGTGGGCTCTCTGCTCCACCTCTGCTGGAGACGCTGCATGAGTGGGTTCTGCCTTACTTCACCCCACACCACGGCCAAGAAGCCAGCGTGGGCTCACTTAATGAGGGAGCATAGCATGTTTTCCATTTAGAGAAACTCCACCTGGCAAAAGTCATTTTTCCTAAACAAGGTTTCTCAGCCTTGGCACTGCTGACACTCGGGCCAGTGACTTCTCTGTTGTGGGGACTGTCCTGTGTCCGGTAGGATGCAGCCTCCCCGGCTCCTACCCGCCAGACGCCAAAAGCATCATCCCCCCACTGCACTCCCAATTGAGTTGTGACCACCAAAATGCCTCCACACTGCCCACTGTCCCCTGGGGGCAGGGGGCAATGGGGGGGGCAAAATCACCCCCAGTTGAGAACCAATGCCCTAAAATAATAATCAGTTTAGTGGGGTTGGACAATTTTCACAGGCCTTTCTTTCCCATTTGCTACTCAAATACGGTGAGATGGTGAAATGAGAAAGAACAGTGAGTGAGAACAGTACGGCCGTGCCTAACTCGCATCGACATGAAACACAAGCACTGAGTTCACTACCTGGACGGGGCAGCTCCACTCCCATCGTTCCACATGATCAGGGTCTGGATGCCTTCCTCACATGGGATAGAGCAGCCCTGCCTCTGGCTTCAGACACAAAATAGCATCTCAGCAGGAATAGCAGAGCGGCTGTGATGAGAGAAAGGCGCAAACGAGGTGCACAAGCTCATCTAGATCAGAGGTTCCAGCAGGATCCTGTGCTGCTAACTTGTAACTCAGCCATGAACTCAGGGGTCAAGTGCACCTTCAGCATCTTTGTAGCCACAGCACTTAGCACAGCTTGGGGCACAAGTAGGTGCCAGATGACTATCTGTTGAACTGATTAATACCATGTGAGCAGTAATATTTTATTATTTCCTTGAAAACTGAGCTTCCTCGTTAGCCTTTGCCAACCCTGGGAGCTTGTGTTCATGGCTGCCCTCAGCTATTATAAACCATACAGTCACCCTTCGACAGTGTCCATCTATAGGTTCCATGGCTGTGTAAGTTGCTGTGTACTAAGTAGAAGCTGCCTTTGCCAGGCAGGCAGCATTTCTGACCAGCGTGGCAACCTCTGATCTGAGTCTGGGACTCTGACGAGCCTAGGGGTTATTCTCAAAGGCATCACGCTGACCTCGGCCATCATCTGCTCCCCACCCCCGAGGACTCATCCCCCTGGCTGGGGAGAGGAGCCGCATTCCCAGGGTAGCTCCTGTATCTGCTGACCTGCCAGAGCTATGAACGCTGCACAGAGAGAGGCCAGGACCCCCTGGAGGAGCCCGGCTCCCGACGGAGGGCTCTGCACATGTGAATCCACCGGGACAGGAACAGACCTTCACATGGACAGTCTGCTTCCGGGAAAGTCCCTGTTTGTCTCCGATGAAAAGCGGCACCAAGTAGTCCCCACGCGGAGGCTTCTCAGCATCAGTTCCACTGAGCGACCTGCAGAGGGACAGGGACCTTAGCTGCACTGACTCATGCATTTGTTCAGCTGCTCGGCGGGTATTTCCTAGGTGCCTCCCACGTGCCAAGGCTCTGTATGAAGTCAGGGTCGCCAGAGCGACCCTCACTTGGACACCAGCTGCAAGTGCAGGGGTTCCCAAGACCACCCTCAGGTTGATAATTCTCTAGAAGGACTCAGGACTGGCTGAACACTGTATACGCAGGGTTAGGGTTTATTACACTGAAAGGATATGGATTCAAATCAGTCAAGGGAGGAAGTACATGGGGCAGAGTTTAGAAAAGTATCAAGTGCAGAATTTCCAGTTCTCCTGCCCATGGAGTCAGGACCACGGCACCTCCCGGCATCCACGAGTGACAAGATGCATGGAATGTTGCCAACCAGGGAAGCTCACCGAGCCCTGCGTCCACAGTCTTTATCAGAACTTGGTCTTGTAAAACTGGTTAGCCACCCACATGGCTGATTCACTGACACCCACACGCTTACATGACCCAAAGGCCACACCCTAAATCACATTGTTCTTATTGACGGACACAAGATCCCCTCCCCTAGGTAAGCAGAGACACTTTTATCAGGCAGGATATTCCGAGGGCTTGGAGATCACCTCCCGGAAGACCAGACCTCTTTGGGGGTACGTTTCAATGCTTTACAGCACACTCTGGGTCTGGGAAATATAAACATGGACTCACAGTTTCAACTAAAAAACAGGTCACATCCTAGAGACCAGTTAATAGAAGCACAAAGTAGGATGTTGACACTGGATGCCGGTGGTTCCTCCTGGTAAAAGCACCCCAATTTTCCTTTGGGGGAGCCCACACTTCCTGAACTCTCAGCCCGTGTGGGTCAAGAGAGGCTAAGCCCAGATCCCAGCCAGATCCAGATGTGGGCTCAGAACCAGCCAATCAGCACTTCTGCCCTCCTCACCCACGATGCTGAGCAGGACAGGTAACTCAAGCCTTGCAGTGAGGTACACCTTCTTGCTAGGTGCCAGGATGAGTCCCAGGGACTCCCAGCTGCTACCCTGCCACCTCCAGAGGAGAGCCTGCCTCAAGATGAAAGGACCCAGAGAAAGGCAGGGCCAAGGTCCGGAGCTGCCTTCTCCAGGAAGTCCTCGGGGCCCCCAGCTCTGCTGGGAGACAGGCTCACTTAGCCTCTTTCTCGGTTACATAGCTAACACATTCCTCTTTTGCTTAAGTCTGTGGAAGTCAGGTTTCTGTCTTTTTCCATCCTTTATCCCCGACCAATGCAAATACTCACCATTATTTTCCGCCAGCCTCCACGTGTCTTCTGTGTTTGCCCACGTATTGTCCAATCTGAAGGTGAACGGGTGGGAGTAGGGCTCCTGGGCCCCGTCCTCCGCCTCGATGGGGCGGGGCCTGCCTCCTGCAGACTCCAGACCTCCCGGTATCGAGACCGTGGGTGGAGGGTGGGCGTGTCGTCGTTGGTGTCTGACAGGAAGAGCAGCATGGGCCCCGTCCCCGTCCGTGGCGGGACACCTGTGGCGGGGAGATTCCAAGAGGGTTGCTGATTAACTAAAGAGGCTGCTCCATGCACACAGAACCCTGGGAAATTAGCATTCTCAGCCTCTGGGAAAAGAACCACTCCATGGAAACACTGAGGCCGCTTCCCTCTCAAAGTCATAAGCTTTACTGCAGGGGCTCAATCTGTTTTCCTGCTTTTTTGAAAATTCAGAATATCTGGGCAGGATAAGTTAACAAAACACTTTGGCTTCCCTGGTGGCACAGTGGTTGAGAATCTGCCTGCCAATGCAGGGGACATGGGTTCGAGCCCTGGTCTGGGAAGATCCCACATGCCGCGGAGCAACTAGACCCGTGAGCCACAACTTCTGAGCCTGCGCGTCTGGAGCTTGTGCTCCGCAACAAGAGAGGCTGCGATAGTGAGAGGCCTGTGCACCGCGATCAAGAGTGGCCCCCGCTCGCCACAACTAGAGAAAGCCCACGCACAGAAACGAAGACCCAACGCAGCCAAAAATAAATAAATAAATAAAATTTAAAAACAAACAAACAAAGAAAACCACTTGCCCCTTCACATCATTTGTAGAAAGAGGTAGAATGTAGAATCATCGAGTAGATTAAAACATCAGTCATGGGCTTCCCTGGTGGTGCAGTGGTTGAGAATCTGCCTGCCAATGCAGGGGACACGGGTTTGAGCCCTGGTCCGGGAAGATCCTGCATGCTGCAGAGCAACTAAGCCCACTCACCACAACTACTGAGTCCACTCACCACAACTACTGAGTCCGCTCACCACAACTACTGAAGCCCGTGCACCTAAAGCCCGTGCTCCGCAACAAGAGAAGCCACCACAATGAGAAGCCCGAGCACCCCAATGAAGAGTAGCCCCCGCTCACTGCAACTAGTGAAAGTCCGCGTGCAGCAACAAAGGCCCAGCGCAGCCAAAAATAAATAAATAAAGTAAATTTATAAAAAAAAAAAAACCCTTTTAAAAAAAAAAAAAAGAAGGCAGCCATTGGAACCAAGCCGGAATGCCAAGCACAGCTATTGCTCCTCCTGAGGGACCCGCAGAAGGAAAGGCCTGTACCCACAGGCAAACACAGAAAAGGTGCAGCTCCACCAAAGGGCCAGAGAAAGGGAGTTTCCGTGCCTTCTCTTTCATGCTGTGTAAAGGCTTTGGAAAAGGTCAGTAACTATCTCTCTGATATTTGACAGGTCATGGTTTTTAAAGGGACCAACCATACTGTAGGGATGGGAATACAGCACTGAATCAGATACAGGCTCTACATGGGTGTTCTCAAAGCAAGGTCCAGGGACCAGCAGCTTCAGCGTCACCTTGGAACTTGCTAGAAATGCAAATCTCAGTCCCCACGCCAGGCCTCATAATCAGAAACCACAAGGGTGAGGCCCAGCAACGGGCATTTTAACAGGCCCTCCAGGTGATTCTTATTCTAACTCAGCATGCACCGGCGTGGACCTGTGCTGGTCTGGAGCTCTTGGTTAGCTGCCCACAATGAGACAATAGCAGAAACTGAGAGCAAGTGTTGGGGAATTTTTATAGTCAGTGGCATTACTGTGACCCCCAAGCACATAATCATTTTTTGTAATTTATTTTTTCATATTTTATAAAATTATTACTCCACAGTGAATTGGAAATTAAAAGAAGCAAAATATGGTCCTTCTCAATGGTTGAGAAGCATTGCTCTAAGGAAGAATCTCAAACTCTCGTGCCCGCGACGGTCTGAGCACGTGGCAGAAACGAGCGAACTGCTCTGATGGGGATTGGAGCCAGCTGCTGAGTGAGAGGTGGAAGGGACATGATGCAGGACCCTCTCTACGCCCCAGATGATCGTGACCTCGTGGGACACAGACCCAGTGATGCCGAATCTTCCTCTTTTTCAAGAACAACCAGATAATTTGGGCTGTTAGCTTAATCTCCTGATGTTTAAATCATGGCAGCTTTATTAGTTTTTTCTTTTTTTATTACAGTAAAATACACATAACATACAATTTACCACCTTAACCATTTTTAAGTGTGCATTTCAGTGGTATTAAATATTTCACATTTCTGTACAACCATCACCTCCATCCATTCCCACAGCTCTTTTTATCTTGTAAAACTGAAGCTCTGTACCTATTCAACAATAACCCTCCATTCCCCTCCCGCCAGCCCCTAGAAATTGGCATTATATTTTCTGTCTTTATGACTTTTGACTACTCTAAGTACCTCCTATAAGTGGAATCACATAGAATGTGTCTTTCTGTGATGGGCACATTTCACTTAGCACAATATCCTTAAGGTTCATCCATCCTGTAGCATGTTGCAGAATTCCCTTCCTTTTTAAGGCTGAATAATACTCCATTGCACGTATAGAGAACATTTTGCTTAACCATTCATCCATCAGTGGACCCTTGGGTTGTTTCCACATTTTAACTATTGTGAATAATGCTGCTATCCGTGTGGGTGTACAAATAACTCTTTGAGACCCTGTTTTCAGTTCTTTTGGGTACATACCCAGAAGTGGAATTGCTGGATCGTACGATAATTCTATTTTTAATTTTTGAGGAACTGCCATACTGTTTTTCACAGAGGCTGTACCATTGTCCATTCTCATCAGTGGTACACAAGGGTATCAATTGCTTCACATTCTCCCCAACAGTTGTTTTCTGTTTTTCTTACGGTAGCCATTCTCCTGGGTGTGAGGTGGTATCTCACTGTAGTTTTGATTTGCGTTTCCCTGATGATTAGTGATGGTGAGCATCTTTCATGTGCTTATTGGCCACTTGTATATCTTCTTTGGAGACATGTCTATTCAAGTTTTTTGCCCATTTTTGAATCACAGGTTTTTTTGTTGTTCTTATTCTTGTTGAGTTTGAGAAGTTCTCTGTATTTTCTGGATATTAATCCCCTATCAGATATATGACTTGCCAATATTTTCTCCCATTCTGGCTTTGTACTCTGTGGAGTACACAATGTCTTTTGGTGCACACAATGCTTCCATTTTCACGAAGTCTGATTTGACTATCTTTTCTTTTGTTATCCGTGCCGTTGGTGTCGTATCCGAGAAATCGTTACCAAATTCAGTGTTGTGAAGCTTTTGTCCTATGTTTTCTTCTAAGAGTTGTCTTATTTTAGGTCCTTGATCCATTTTGAGTTAACTTTTGTATACGGTGTTAGGTTACCTGTTTTTGTCTTTGGATCTCAAGAAAGCCTCTTGAAGACAACATAGAGTCAGATCATGTGTTTTTATCCATTCTATCAATCTCTGTCCTTGGATTGGAGAGTTTAATCTTTCTATATATAAAGTAATTACTGATAAGAAGGGAATTAACTTCTGTTAATTGTTTGCCCGCCCCGGCTCCCACAAGCAGTGTGTGCGATTCCAGAGACACGTGCACAGCTGCCTTCCGTGGGGCTGGAGGTGGGGAAGGGTAGCCGCTGGGGAAGGTACTGTGCTAAGAGTTGAAATGGACCAAAATTAACCACAGTTTACAGTCTGCCTTCCCCTGGAAGGTGCAAGCCTTCAACAGATTCCTGAGGTCCAAAATAGGTACATGAGACAGATTCTGCCAGCACGACTGTCTGGATGGGGAGAGAGATTCCTGTGCCTCCCACTCTGCCACCTTCTCGGGGATTATCGAAACTGTGTTTTTAAAAACAAAACACTAAGCAACCCAAGTGTCCATCAAGGGATGAATAGATAAAGTGTGGTATATACATAGAATGGAATATTACTCAGCTTTAAAAGGAAGGAAATGCTGGGGCACATGCTAGAACATGGGTAAAACTTGAGGACATTATATGCTAAGTGAAATATGCCAGTCACAGAAGTTCAAATCCTGTGTGATCCCATTTATACGACATAATTAGAGCAGTCACATTCATAGAGACAGGAAGTTGAATGTAGTGCCAGGTCCTGGGGGTGGGGGGAACGGGAAGTTATTGCTTACTGGGGGCAGAGTTTTAGTTTAGGAAGATGAAAAGAGACAGATGGAAAGATTCTGCAGATGGACAGTGGTGAGGGTACACTGGGAAGTACAATATGAATGTACTTAATGTTCCCGAACTACACACCTGCAAATGCTGATGGTGGTAAACTTTACATACATTTTACCACAATGAAAAAGAAAACACTTCTGTCGCCCAGAAGCCAGAGGGCTGCCAGTTTACAACCTTTGATAAAGGGGAACTAGAAATACATAACAAATTCTTTTAATACAAGAAAAAACTGTAAAAGAATTTTGTGCTAAATGCAAAGGAAACGGACAAGTGGATTCCACCTTTGGAGGTCAGAGACCGCTATAGAAACAAGAAGGCATTGAACCTGGGGAAGTGTGTTCTGGGTGGCTTCTGGTATTCTCATAACTGGAATGGAGTCGTCCTCAGGAGCACATGAAAGGAGCTAATTTCCAACAGGGATCCTCTGGGGCATGTGGCTAATTCTGCATAACCCGCCACCCGTTCCGTTCCTGTCTCCCCACCTTATCCGGCTGGCAGTTCTGTCCGGATCAGTAGCATTAAAAATTCCCACCTGAATCCCAGGCCCAGCACCGACGCCTTCACTGATGATGAAGGTTCCGGGGAGGAAGGCGGCCGGGTCGTTGACGCTGGCCACCCGCACACTCGCGGTGGTGCTGGCCGCAGCCTGCGGGGCCTCTGCAGCCGCCCCCCTTCGCAGGAGAAGAGCAGCTCCTTGTTCTCCACGGCCACGACCAGGCTCCGCACTGGCTGAGTCTCACAGTCCAAAGGCGGCTGCCGCAGAGAGAAGATCGCATTAGCACCCGCAGCTCTGCTGGCCAGACGAAGCCTGCTCAGCACGCGTGTCACTGTCAACCCAGCGCCTGTGGCTTTTGTGCTTCATTTATTATTTACATCGTCTTTGATAACGATCAAAAGACAGTCATCAGCCCATTTTCAGATCACTTATGGAGTTCTTTTTTTCCCCTCCCCGCTCCTGGTTGAAAAGAGCCACCATCCATCAGAGGGTAATGAAAAATGCAACAAGAACCATAACCTAATAAAACATTAATGTGACAACTCTACTGCAAAAAAATTAGGGGAGCTTAGGGAAATATAGATATTAATGATCATAGCTATTCAGGGTACAAAGTGGTCAGTGATTTAAAAGGATTGAAAGACTCGGAATATTTGGGAAGTTCAGCCCCAGGCTGAATTCAGCCCCAGGCTGGTGTAGAGAATCCACAGAGCCTTGCTATTCACAGGGTGGATGTGGCCTGTCGGCATCACCTGGGAGCTTGTTACACTGACAGGCAGAAACGGGCCCCACCCCAGACCTACTAACTCAGGTCTGCCTTTGAACCTGACCCCCAGGTTGACTCACCTGCACTGCACCAGAGGCACTGGTCATTCTAGGGTCTACTGAGAGCAATTAAGACTAAAGGCACTGGAGTCAGACTGCCCCAGTTTGAACCACTATTCCAGCTGTGTGACTTCCTGAAAACAACCCAACCTCTCTGGGCTTTGGTTTCCTTATCAGTAAATGAGACAATAATACTTTACTGCAGGGCCAACTCTCCACTAGTCACAGCAGGCGAACTGCCAGGAGCCCACAATATTTTTACGGGTCCGTGCAAATGTTCTAATTTCTTTCAAGCCCAGGAGGAAAAACAATGAACTCATAGGGTTAGAGAAAATATTTTAAGTGCTTTTATCACAACAGGAGAAAAAAATGTTAGGGACTATATAAATCTATTATATTTTGTCTAAAACAAAAAATTTAATGTTGGAGTAATTAGTCATATCAAAAATAATCTTTAAGGGACTTCCCTGGTGGCACAGTGGTTAGGAGTCCGCCTGCCAATGCAGGGGACATGCATTTGAGCCCTGGTCTGGGAAGATCCCACATGCCGTGGAACAACTAAGCCTGTGCACCACAACTACTGAGCCTGCGCTCTAGAGGCTGCATGGCACAACTACTGAGCCTGCATGCCACAACTACTGCAGCCTGCACCTAGAGCCCATGCTCTGCAACAAGAGAAGCTGCCGCAATGAGAAGCCCACGTACCACAACGAAGAGTAGCCCCTGCTCACCACAACCAGAGAAAGCCTGCACACAGCAATGAAGACCAAGCGCAGCCAAAAATAAATTATTAAAGAATTAAAAAAAAATCTTTAATATTGATATGTATAATTTTGGTGGGAGGAGCCATGGAGGCAAAAGGGCTGAGGGTCCATGGCAGAAATCACTGTGCAGCCCTGCCTTCCTCACTGGCCATGGGGGTCGGAACACAAGGATCATCACCACCGTTGGCGCCTATTTCATTGTCAGGAATCCTACAGAAAGGGCCTCAACATCTATAGCTACCTGCGGGGATGCATTTACCTTGATTACATTTAAAATCCCTTCATTGGTCTGAGGATCAGTCAGAATGTCAAAATGCCCCTCTTCATTGCCATTTAATATATTGAACTTCACTCTCCATGCTGACGTAAAGGGCGAATCACCATCTTGGACCTCAAGACATAACACGCCCTGGCTGGCTCGGCCATCCGCTATCTAAATGTTATACTGACAGAAGCAATCGTTATTTCAGTGTCATGGAGAAAAAGAAACGCAATTGAAAAAGAAGAAAAAGAAAGAAGAAAGAAAACACAGGCCTTGGAGACAATGACCTGGATCTTTGTCTTGTGATTGAACTTGACCCCTAAGGATCTGCAACTCAGCCTGTTACAGCAGAACAAGCATCAGTAACAAACATCTCCTCCCTGGTCCCTGTGACTTGGTGTCTGAATAACTGAATAGCTGAGTAACTTTAAAAGTACCCTTCAATTCAACGTGATGCACTACTTTTTAAAGAAGTTTTAAAATAATAATACATACCTCAGTTTATGCTGCCTAAAAAAAAATCTAACTCTTCTCCTAAAATAGAGCTCTTATGATTATTTCAATTAAGACGATCGTTTTTCTAACATATAATAGATCTTCCAAATAGCTCCTTATTCAACACTTTTGGTGACAAGATAATTTCTCTAGATGAGCACATCAAAATAACAGCGTATATTTTCTCCAGCCCTACTTTTGGGAGCACAGCTTTTAACTAAGCCAGAGAAGGATTTTGAAACAAGACTCAAACATAGTAAATATGTTTCAGTTATTATATACTGTTAGGTGAGATGCTTTCATTGAAAACATTTCAACTTTGGTCTATACAATTAATTTTTTTAAATGACAGTTTAAAAAAATAATTGTAGCATTTATTTATTCAACAAAGGCTACTGTGTACCAGATCCTGGTTTAGGTGCTGTGAACAGGACAGCAAAAATCCCATCACCAGGGACCTGAGAACTGAGTGTGTGTATGTTGCAGGGGTCAGGTTGGGAATTTAACCAGGCCATCAGGAAAGGCCTCCTTGAAAGAGGTCAGGAGAAGGACACAAATACAATGGACATTTTCCTTTGAAAAGTTCATATGGAAGAATGAAAAATTAAGAAATTGAAGGTAGATCATGATGGGTTTTTATTTTCTCTCTTAGCAATCTTCTGTATTTTAAGTGGTATGGTGTTTCCAAACTGATGGGAACAGTGGGTGCCAACACTTTCTTCAAGCCTGAGGACCTAGTGGCATGTGAAATCCTGTGTGGAACCCAATATATATAAATCAGGTGAGCTGGGAAAAGCCAGGCCCGAACCCACCTACCCATCTTTCCTATTTCAGAGCTCTGAACATTGTGCGCAAAGCTCAGGCCCGGACTTCTCAGCCGGGGCCAGTTCTGCAAGGTCTGCAGATATTTTCAGTTGTCACACCTGGGGGAGCTACTGGCATCTAGTGGGTAGAGGTCAGGGAGGCTGCTCAGCATCCTACAATTCACTGGGCAGCCTCCCCTCCCCTCCCCCGTACCCTTCCTCCAGCCCCAAATGTCAACAGTGTGGAAACTGAGAACCCCTGACGTGGATGGAGCAGGGATCCTCCGTCTTCCCCGAGCCTCGGTTCTCTTACCTGCAGAATGGAAATCACGCAGCAGCTCCAACCAGTAAGCACCTAAGGATCCATGTAAATGCTCTGAACACAGTTTCTGGCACAAAATAGTAAAAATGCAAGCTCACGTGACTGTTATTAACTGGTTCTCTATCAGTATAGTTGACATCTTGATTCTAATTTACGTTATTTTGGAGCATTGCACACATCTTGGGTGATATGGGGAATTCCCTCAGCAAAACCAAGCCTAGGACGTGGAGGCCATCCGTGTGGGGACTTAGAAGCCGAGGCCGCGCAGGCGCCTTACACAGTCGCGGCTGAACGTGGCACGTGGTTGTAGCCGTCTCGCACACGTATGTGAACCATGGCCGTGGATGACAACGGTGGTCCTCCACAATCCCCCGCTCTGATGAGGAATGCAAGCCGAGGAGCAGTCTGAGTGGAGAGGAAAAGGAAAGTCAAGCCCTTCAGACACAGGAAAGGGGAATGTTAACACAGAAATATTCCATTTTAGCAATTTCAGTAGCCAGTCTAGCCACAGAGGGTTTCTCACTGCAAACATAAACCCTAAGTCTGGGGCTCAGAGAGCGAGTACCCATTTCATTTTTCCAAAACAATAAAGTGCACATAACCTCGTAATCTAAGCATCCTGACGGTCGTATTTCTCCACTAATACGGTCAATCCAGAAGGCACTTTCTCTCAGTAACGGTGTTTGGGAAACAAGGACGTAAAGGACATGAGAATTTGGAGTATTTTCTTGATCCAAATCCACTGTTAACATCTCAAAAATAGGTTGACTTGGAAAGAATGTTTTCAATTGTTACTGTCGGCCAAAGGCAGCCTATCAAACCAGTAGGAGGATGATTCTTTGCTAAATGGCATTGAGGCATACGCCAGAGTGGATTAAATACTTAAATACAAAGTCAAGCTGTAGACATACCGGACAAAATAAAGAGGGATAAATAGTCATAAGGTCAAGAAGCACTTTCTAATCATGATTGCAAATGTAGCAGGCTTAAAGGACAAAACTGGTACCTCGATTTTTTAAAGTGTGGCAAAAAACTGTAAGCGAAATTTAAAAGGAAATGATAAACCAGGAAAACATATTTGAAATACATATTGGCAGACAGAGACATACACATTGTTAATATATATGTAGAAAAGTGACAATCACACCAGCAGAAATGGACAAAGAAAAGAACAAGCAACTGATAAAAGAAATAAAAGTGGCCAAGAAAGCTATCGTGTGTTCAAGCACTTAATAATCAGAGATGAACACTGAGCCCTCTCATATGTTGCTGGGAGACGGATAAATTGCAGCACATAAGTTGTGTGTGCAGTTTGAACCAACAATTCTACCTGCCTGAATCTGTGCTTAGTAAATACTTGAATGGCACACACATTTAGCTCAGATATGTTCACTGAAGCATGTTTTATAAAAATAGCAGAAGGTGGCAAAAAGGTTGGTTAAAAACCTTAAAGCACACCATAAAATAAAACATGACGCAGCAGGATGCTGTGGGAGAACACTGTTAGGTTACAAACAGCAAAACTGCATTTTTAAAGAGAAAATTCATAAATATGCACATATAAAAAAGCATGCCCATATATTTATAAATATTCGATATATATACATATACGTTTTGTACTACCATAAGGATGAAAATAAGCATGTAGATATACGAATACACATTTGTAATTATATGTATAAATCTGTGAATATATACACACATATAAATATAAAATACCATGGGTATATACATACACACATATAAAATGCAAAGAAAAATATTGAAAGAATATAAACTAAAACCTTAATTGTACTTACCTCTAATTGGTAGTAATAGAGATGCTTGCCGTTTCAATTTTTTTGTTTCTTGGAACTTTCCTAATTTCCTCGAGACAGTTTTGCAAAATAAATAATGCTTTTGTGTTATTAAAATAGATGCACATTTTAGTGAGGGTGGTTTGGATTTAAAGACTCACAGATTCATAGAGATTTTAGATGCCATCTTGCTGCCACTTTACAGATGAGACATTTGCAGAGATATTCAGGATCCTACCACCCACCTCTGCCTCTTCTTCCCTCATTCATTTGGCTTTATTGTAGATTGATATTTATGTATCAGCTCTTCCAACTGACAATTTTCACATCATTTCATTGCCAGTACAAAATGAGGCTTGCAGACCTCAAAGCATTTTGCTCTAATCCACACCCTGTAACCTTTGGGATGTGAACAGGGAAAAGTCTCCCTGAAGACAGCTAGGACCAAGTGCCCTGTCACTAGGCAAGCAGGAAAACCTTCATGGAACAGAGAGGACAGGAAGCCCCGAGGCCCCGCCGTGCATACCTGCAGCGTGGTTCTCCTTCACACTGATGTTAAATTCCTTCTCAGGGAACTGGGGCGCATGATGGTTCACATCGCTGATCCTGATGTTGAAAATCAAGGATTTATCTACAGTTTGTCCTGTTAAGCGATTAACAACATCAAAATAAACCTAGGATGCAGAGAACCACATTAATGTTGTACAAACCATTGATTAGATGACACTAACCCCATACCTGTCGGTGTAATTGTGTCCTGCATCTGTATCCTCCATAGACTGAAAGTCCCTGAGGGCAGGGATCACAGGCTCTCATTCACCCTGTGGCCCCAGGGATTGAGCACAGTGCTGGCACAGACCGGGTTCACAACCAGCATCTGTAGAACAAATCAATGCACTGACTTGAAAAAATACTTCATTCGTTATTATTAGGTTCCAATCTCAATTTCTCCACTTGCGTCAACATAGGCAAGTTGTTATAAGTCTCAGTTCCTACATCCTATCAGTCTTCTGATGAGAAATGAACACACTAATGAATATTGGTGAAACATCACAGAGGGCAGACACTTAAAAGCTTTGGGGAAAGTGAACATTTAAAGTAACGAGGACTGGGAATTCCCTGGTGCTCCAGTGGTTAGGACTCTGTGCTTTCACTGCTATGGGCCTTGGTTCGATCCCTGGTCAGGGAACTAAGATCCTGAAAGCCGTGTGGTGTGGCCAATAAATAAATAAATAAATAAATAAAGTAACTATGACAGCCATTGACATACCGTGGGTCCTTAAACGGTCACTGCTGTTACTTGTGTACTTGAATAAGGAAGGTCAATTCATCTCAAACATGCATTTGAGAAGTCTTTCCTTTTAGAAGGTCTCAAATCAGTAATTTAAGCTTCTACCATTAGTTTCTTAAGAAACTTAAAAAAAGGAGCAAATTAATCTTAAACAGAAAAAAGGAAGTAATAAGGATAAAAGCATATATCAATAAGATTGAAAACAGCAAAATCAATAACGTCAATAAAACCAAAAGTTGATTGCCTTCCCATATAAATCTTGGGATCAGCTTATGGATGTCTATAAAAATTCTGCTAATCTTTTGAATAGGCTTGCACTGAATTTAAATTTGAGAGAATTGTCATCTTAATAGTCAATCTTTCAATCCATAAACACACTATACCTTTTCATTCAATTAATTCATCTTTGATTTCTTTCATCAGTGTTTTATAAAAGTTTTGAGTAAACACATCCTGCACATATTTTAGATTTGTACCTAAGAATTTTAAATTTATACCGAAGCACCTCATTTGTCTGGTGATATTGTAAATGATATTGTTTTAAAAATATTGATTTCCAATTATTCATAGCTGGTATATAGAAATACAATTAGTTATATGTAGTAACTTTAAAATTGATTTTCATATGTTAAAAATAGGCAAAGGATTTGATCAGACACTTTTCCAAAGAAGCTATACAGATGGCAAATAATGCATCATTTGTCATTAGAGAAATCCAAATTAAAACCCCAATGCGAAACCTCTACACAACTATTAGAATGGCTAAAATAAAAAACCTGACAAAGATGCAGAGCAATTGGAATTCTTACATATTGTTAGTGAGAACGCAAAATAGCTCAGTCATTCTGAAAAGTAGTTTAGGAGTTTCTGATAATGTTAACATATGCTTTTCATGTGATCCAACAAGCCCACTCCTAGATATTTACCCAAAAGAAATAAAAACTTATGTTCACATGAAAATCTGAATGCTTTTAGCAGCTTTGTGAAAATTTTGCCAAAAATTGGAAAGTACTCAAGTGTCCATCAAATGATGAGTCGGTAAATTATGGTACATCTGTAAAAGAAATACTAATCAGCAAAACAAAACAAACATAAAAACTTTTGCTGCATGCAACCATATGGATGAATATCAGATGCATTATGCCAAGTGGAAAATCCAGATTTAAAAAGTGACATTCCCTTCCCTGGTGGTGCAGTGGTTAAGAATCTGCCTGCCAATGCAGGGAACACAGGTTCAATCCCTGGTCCGGGAAGATCCCACATGACGCGGAGCAACTAAGCCCATGCACCACAACTACTGAGCCTGCGTGCCACAATTACTGAAGCCTGCACGCCTAGAGCCTGTGCTCTGCAACAAGAGAAGCCACCGCAATGAGAAGCCCCTGCTCGCCGCAACTGAAGAAAGCCTGTGCACAGCAATGAAGACCCAATGCAGCCAAAAATAAATAAATAAAAATAGATAAATAAATTTATTAAAAAGTGACATTATGTGTGATTCCACTTTACCTTCTAAACAAGGTAAAAATGTAGGACAGGGAACAGATCAGTGGCTTCCAGGGGTTAAGGGTTAGGGGAGGGTTTGATTATAAAGGAGAAGCACAAAGAAATTTCAGGGGTAATGGAACTATTCTGTAGCTTGGTATATTAAATGTAAAATACTAAATGTTTTAATTAAAAAAAAACTACTCAGACAAAAACATAACTATGTGCTTCTTATAAGGAGATACACCTTAAATATAAGAATATGAAAAACTTGAAAGTAAAAGGATATATATATATATATATCCTCTCTATATATGACCTTCTCTATATATTATCTTCTTTTGGTTAGTCTTTGAAGATAGATAGATAGATAGATAGATAGATAGATAGATAGGTAGATAGACTGATTTTCAAAGACTATCCAAAAGAATCTCATCTAGTTATCTAGCTACAGATACAAAACTTTAAGGCAAGAAGTCTTACTAGTCATCAACGGGGACATTTAAAAATCATAAAAGGCTCAATCTATGAGGAAGATATGACATAGCAATTCTAAATCTGCATGCACCCGATAACATAGCCTCAAAATATAAGCAGATAAGATCAACAAAACTAAAATGGCAAGCAGAGATTTTAACACATTCCTCTCAGATAGAACAAGCAGATAAAAACAGGTAATCCGTAAGGATATCAAGTATTTAAACAACATAATTAACTGACTTGATGTGATTGATGCCATAAATAGAACAATCTATCCAACACTGCAATATACACATTCATTTCAAGAGCACATTGACTGTTTACTAAAATTGATCATATGCTAGGATATAAAGCAAGTCTCAACTAATTTCAAAAAATTACAACCATATAGAGTATATTAAGCTAGAAATCACTAAGAAAGATAATTTACAACCCCAAATGTCTGGAAGTTAAGCAAAGCACTTCTAAATAACGTATGGGTCAAAGAAGAAATCACATTGGAAATCAGAAAATATTTTGAACTGAATGATAGTGAAAACACAATAAATCAAAATGCATTTTCCTCTCATCATTCAAACTTCAAACCCAGGCTTTATATGCATATTTTGATTCTATAGAGGCTAGCAGGTCAATAAAAGCTTGCAAAATGATTGTTTACAGACAACCAATCAGTTTTGTATTTGGCAATAAGGGATTTTTGAGATTTGCCCATGCCATGACTCCTAGGTCTCAAGTTCCTTGTTGAAAGCATGTTACCAAAAAACTTTCTTCCCGAATTATATTCTGCTTATACAAAATGCTGGGTGATGTAAATGTGTGATCTTTTATTTTGTGTATCAGAGGCTTGGGTGTAAGGAAATAACCAGAAGTCTTTCTAAATCTGACAGTGCGGTGGTGTAAAAGTTTCTGCTTTGCTAGCTTCTTGGGAGATGTTGGAGTCTTGCAAAACTCACCTCATAGTGAATTGGATTGAAGAAGTATTTATGGAATGAAAAAGCAGAAAGGCAATAACCTACACATTTGCCATTGACAAAGGAGCAAATGTGGTGAGGTCTCCGTTGATGAAGGAGTCATGATTGTACAAGGCTTTGTTTATGTCCCTGATTTGGGCTTTTTGCCAAAAGCAGAAAGACTGTGGGCCACGTCCACGTTCATCATTCTGCTTCAGCCAAAACACACCTCCAGGAGATTCAGGAAATGCATCATCACCTACTTATACAAAACAGCTATTACACGTGAAAACAAACAAAAAGGCTGCCTGAACCACAACAAAAGCCTTGATTCTGTTCTTCCGCAAATAACAATACCACCTAGCACTGCCTAATGTTTGCTTGCAGGAAAGGGCATTCTCTGGAACTGCTGAAGATGTAAGCAAACTGAAGCATCTTGAGAGAACAAGTGTTTCTCACCTGATCCCTGCTGCAAAGATCCTCGCATCATTCTGCTCTGAGCAGATGCTAAAATTGGTGTGCGTGCGTGTGTGCCTGTGTTCCTGTGTGCAATGAAAGCTGAGATGCCAGTGGGGATCCTCAGGTCATTTTGTTTCCTTGAAAGCCAGTTACACCCCGTCATTACCATATTTTTTGCAAATGATTATGTGAAGCTGTAAGGACACACAAAATATTAGATACAAAAATATATAGGCAAAGGCAACAATCTTAAGTCCACTTCTGAGAGCAACTTCTTCAAGTGGTTCATCTGGGGGGATGGACCATGAGACTGCATCAGCACCAATGACCAGCTCTTGAAGACCAAGGTTTTAAGGGAAGAGGCACCATTGTCTTAGTCATTTACCTTTAGGGCAGAGGAAACAGCTAAGTACTCAGTGATCACATCAGAGGGAGCCAACAATGACCCTGCTCCTCCAAGTGAGCAGTTCTCTAGTATCACAAATGTACCTGTCATGTCACTGCAGGCCGATTTAGAAACTGTGAAGAGAAATTATTGTTCTTGCAGTAGGTCAAAATGTTTAAATGGAATCCTTAATTTTCACAGAATTGTAATAAATTTTGAGCTTATGTAGGTTGACAGCATATAGTAAAAATGCTTGGAAAGACATAGATGTAAGGTGATCACTTCTGTGAGATCAGACCAGAGTGGAAAGTTGGGGGTGAGGGAGAGGTTTTTAATGACTATTCCATTAAAATAAATAAATAAATAAATAAAATCTTATGGAATTTAAAATTCCATAAGAAGCCTTTATTACTTTTACACCTAAAAAGTAAGATAAGCAACAGGAACTCTTGTTCACTGATGGTGGGAATGCAAAGTGGTGCAGCCACTTTGGAAGACAGCTTGGCAGCTTCGTACAAAGCTACACTTACTCTTACCACATGATCCAACAGTCCTGCGCAGTGGTATTTATGCAAAGGAGTTGAAAACTTATGTCCACACAAAAACCTGCACACAGATGTTTAAAGCAGCTTTATCCATAATCATCAAAACTTGGAAGCAACCGAGATGCCCTTGGGTAGGTGGAGGGATAAACAAACAGGGGTCCATCCACAGTATTCCCCAATGGAATATTATTCAGCAACGAAAAGACACAGAGGGGGCTTCCTTGGTGGCACAGTGGTCGAGAGTCCTCCTGCCAATGCAGGGTACACAGATTCGATCCCTGGTCCAGGAAGATCCCACATGCTGCAGAGCAACTAAGCCCGTGCACCACAACTACTGAGCCTGTGCTCTAGAGCCCATGAGCCACAACTACTGAGCCCACATGCCACAACTACTGAAGCCCGTGCGCCTAGAGCCCGTGCTCCACAACAAGAGAAGCTACCACAGTAAGAAGCCCACGCACCGCAAGAGTAGCCCCCACTCGCGGCAACTAGAGAAAGCCTGCGCGCAGCAACGAAGACCCAACACAGCCAAAAATAAATAAATACATAAATTTATTAGGGGAAAAAAAAAAGTAAAGACATGAAGGAAGCATCAGTACACATGGCTAAGTGAAAGAAGGCAACCTGAAAAGGCTACAGACTGTATGATTCCAACTATACGGCACTCTGGAAAAGGCAAAACTATGCAGACAGTAAAAGGATCAGGGGTTGCCGCGGGCTCGGAGGGGAGGAAGGGATGAATCGATGGAGCACAGAGGAAGTTTAGGTCGATGAAACTATGATACCAGCAGGGTGGATACATGTCACTAAACACCGTCAAAATCCATAGAATGTACAAAACAAAGAGTGAATCCCCATGTAAACTATGGGCGTTAGTTAATAGTAATGTATATTAGCTCATCGATTGTAACACGTGTACTCCACGAATGCAAGATGTTAATAATAGAGGGAACTGTGGGATGAGTCGGAAAGTGAGGGGGTATATAGGAACTCTGTACTCTCCAATCTATTTTTATGTAACACTAAAATGGCTCTAAGAGATAAAATCTATTAAATTTTTAAAAGGGTCCCTACTTGTAAAATAAGGCATGGGCAACCATATATATATATATAGTCAGTCTACTTTGACTTGTTGCTGAATCTCTCATTGCTCTAGGATAAATAGCGATTTTATTTGTTGAAGGCTGAAAAGATTTCAGGGAATCCGCAGAGAGGCAGAAGAAGCCCTGAGGAGCTCTCAAGGCAGATGACCCCTTACAATGGGAATGTTGGTCTCTCAAGGGGCCTCTGGTTGCCAGGTACACAGCCCTGCTTGGGGATGCTAAGTAAGTATGGGGTTTATTCCCAGAGAAGAAGCTTCAGTGAAGCCCAGGGAGGGCAGACTCACCAGGGGACTGGCTGAGCCTTTACACAGATCAACTCCTTTCTTCCTTCGCAAGTCCTGGAGGGATGCCCCCTTGTCACCCTGCTCTGCACCATATGAGAGGTTCCCTGGCTGGCAGGCTCTGAGCCTGGAAGCAGAGCAGCCCAGATTCAAGGCCCGGTAGGTGTCGACTTGACTGTGCCTTGACTGTCCCTCTGTGGACCCAGAGTCCAGAGCAGAGGCTGCTTCACCAGACGGGTGTCTCAGGGCCTTGGCAGCTTCACGCGGCCATCTTCCCACCCCCCTCTTCCTCACAGCTCACACGGTCTCCTTTACTTCGCTGTATGTGCCTCCTTGGGCCTCCTTCCCAGCAGACTTGCTGCCCTCTCACCGGCAGCCACCACAGTGGTCCCACTCGGCATCATAAGATGCTGGCCTGGGCCCCGGGTCTACTCCTGTTCAGCTCTCTCCTCTCTCCCTACGAGACAAAGGATGCGGTGAGGCTACTAGTACTGAACTCATCTGCTTCAGGGACTCCAACATACATTTTTAAATTTTTGTGAAAGCAAACTGGCTTTCTCCAAAGCAGCATTTTCACAGGCTCCTCCATAATTTATGACTGTGCTGCAACGCTCTGCTCCTTAATCACCCTGACTTCTGGCTCTAAATCTGTGCCAACTGTAATCCTTCCACTTAAAAACAGGAACCACATGTTTGTTTTATGTTTATTATTCTATATTCCATTTATTATCCTAAAAGCTACACTGAGACCTTTAGTTCTGTAAGATGCCTGAGAGGCCTATGTGCTATTTATTCTTTGGCAAGATGCTGAGAATTTCCGGGGGACTCAGAATCACAATGTTAAAAGGAAATGTCATGGATATTTTCTGCACTTGTAAAGGGCTTTCAGCCTTTTGTTATGGCCTTGAGACTTACATCCGTGGATAAACACACCCCAGGGCATTGACATGATGGCTACTTGAAATTACATGTACAAGATGTTTACTCTTAGACACTAATGAGCATATAGAAACATCTTAAATGCCAAACACACAATACAAAATCACAACTATGCATAGGTTATAAGTAGGTAAAGATGAGTGTGTTGAGATGAAGATCCACAAATAATCGTTACAAGGAAGATAAAAAGGTGATTTTTCTTGAGTGTATTTGTATCTTATGAAACTGAGCATATTTTGATATAAATAGATAAGATTCCTATACAGAAAGAAGACTTTTCCCCTCTCCAGCTCTGGCTTCGATTTTTCAGCAATTCTTGACCGGTGCTACTGCTTTCTCGTAGATTTCTTATGGGGTTAACAGGAAATTAGCTCCCACCCCGCCCCACCCCCCCCACCCCGGGCCCCTGCCACCTTCGGAACACAAGTTTTTTAAGGTTTTAGTCAGTTTTAGTGACTCCTTTGCTATCCTCAAGGATAAGGCAGTGCTACTAGAACTGTCTTTCTGCCAATACATTAGGGTTACTTAATTTTTAATAACATCCTCTCCTTATGCACAGCCGAAAAGCCATAGTAAGCATTCTCACAGAAGCAGATGGTTAAGCTAGAACAGTCGGTTTGTGTACTGTGCCTGTGACACTCTGCTTATCCCACTGCCATGGCTGGTAATCCTCATCAGCCTGTTTCAAACCTTCCTAACCAGTACGGTAGCCCCTGTGGGTTAGTTTCCTATGGCTGCTGCAACAAACTGGGTACCTATGACAGGACTGTATTCTCTTACAGTTCCGGAGGCCAGAACCAAAACCAAGGTGTCTGTGGGGTTGGCTCACCCTGGGGGCTCTGAGGGAGAATCTGCTCCAGGCCTCTCTCCTTACTCCTGGTGGTGGTGGTGTCAGCGATCCTTGGTGTTTCTTGGCTTGTGGACACACTGCTCCAATCTCTGTCGCCAGCTTCCCATGGCCTTCTCGTCTGTGTCTTTTTCTCTGTGTCCAAATCTCCCTCCCCATACAAGGATGCTGGTTACTGGACTAAGACCCACCCCAATCTGGTATAACCTCATCTTAATTTGATCACACCTGCAAAGACTCTATAACCAAATAAGGTCACATTCACTGGTACCGGGGTTAGGAGTTGAGCATATCTTTTTGGAAGACACAACTCAACACTCGGGAAGTCTGACACTACATTTTGCTGTTCTCATTCACTCATCCGACATAATTGAGAATCTACTATGTGCAGAGGCCAATTCTTGACTCTGGGGTAATAAGAGCAAATAAGGCAGGGTCTCTCCCTTCTTAGAACTTCCATTTTAATGGGGAAATTGACCATCATTAGAGAATCAAACAGGAAAGTAGGAAACATGGGCCTGGGGATGCCAGATCTCCTAATTTTTCAGGAGAAACTAGAATTTTGAGATTTTAGGTCAAATTTCCTTTTTTTTTAAGAAAAAAATTAGAAATAAATTTGGTTTTTGAAAACTGTTAACCAAACAAAATGCTTTTGCCGGCCGGAATTTCATCCTTCTGACCGTGCCCATTCCCTCATTTTATTCCCTCAGAATCACCTGGAGAGAGTTAACGTGATCTCCTTGCTCAGGCTGCACCGCAGACCACTGAAATCAGAACCTGGGGAGGGGGAGGGTCCCAGCATCAGGATGTTTTAAAGCTCCTCGAGTGATTCCAGTGTGTGGCCAGCACTAGATTAGAGAAAGTGGGTTCACACTGAGGCACTGGGGGAAGTGGTTCAGGGCAGGAGGGGTGCAAGGAGAGCTTTCTGAAGGAGCAGCTTCTGAGTTTTCCAGGGGAGGGCTTGGAACTGCAGGAAAGTAGCCATGGGATGGTAGATGGGTCCTGAGCACCTGGTATGTGAGAGCTGATTGAGCCGTGCTGCAGTCAAAACACACCCTTGATTTTGAAGGCTTAGTACAGAAGACGGGAAAAGATTTCATTAGTCACTTTTTTACTGGTCACATGTTGAAATGATATATTTGAGATGTACTGGGTATATTGGGATAAACAAAGCATATTTAAAATTTAATTTCATTATTTCCTTTTACTTCTTAAAATGTGGCTATTAGAAAACATTTGAAGTGTAGTAAAATACACAGCTATTAGAAAATTTTATATTACAGGACTCCCATTATATTTCTTAAAGTCTAAAAGCCACAGAGCTAGTATAGAACTATTGACATAGCTTTTCTCCATGGTCCCTGGACAGCAGCATTAGTGTGACCTGGGAAATTGTTAGTGATGCAGATTCCTAGGCCCCATCCCCAGACCCACTGAATCAGGGCCAGCAGTCAGTACTTTAACAAGTCCTCCTGGAAAGTCCGATGCACGCTGAAGATGGGGAATGGGGTCAGGCAGGCTTCCCAACTCTTCCCAGGGGGCAGGGCAGTGTCCCAGGAAGATGAGCTGCTAGAGCAGAGGTTCTAGCATCAGCCCCAGTGGGGTAAGCTTTGATTTCTTTAGGAAAATGAAAGTTTAAAAGGAACAGGACGTAAGTTGTGACAAAGCGAGAGAGAGGCATGGACATACATACACTACCAAACGTAAGGTAGATAGCTAGTGGGAAGCAGCCGCATAGCACAGGGAGATCAGCTCGGTGCTTTGTGACCGCCTGGAGGGGTGGGATAGGGAGGGTGGGAGGGAGGGAGACGCAAGAGGGAGGGGAGATGGGGACATATGTATACGTACAGCTGATTCACTTTGTTGTACAGCAGAAACTAACACACCATCGTAAAGCAATTATACTCCAATAAAGATGTAAAAAAAAAAAAGGAACAGGACGGAGTCTTCAGAAGCCGAGTAAAGTTGTTGGAACTGCTGAAAGTGACCGAAAAGCTAAGAAACGCAACGGACTTGAGGGAGGAAGGGGTTTGGGCAGCACAGTAACAGCTGTTGGAAAACAACACCATCTCAACTTTGTAACCGAATGTGGGAAGACTCCCCAGTAGGCTGTTCTCCCATCCGGGGGCACAGCCGCGACTGAAGGAGATGTCTGATTTCATTCCCTGAACGCACAATGTCTGTGGCCACCCAGAAGCTGACTATGTGCGGGATGGGAACGTGGCCCCCACTCCAGGGAACCCTTCTCCTCCACAACAAGGGCAGGACAGTTTACTGTGTTTAATCCCAAAAAATATTGTCTTGAGTTTTCTCTTCCTGCATTGGCAACCTGGTTATTTCAAGGTTATAGCATGCGTCAAGACAAGGACCCATTATTTACCCAGCCACATCCCTCTGGGTCCAAAGCATAACACACACTTGAGTTTTATCTCTACTTTGGGGCCAGACTTTAGAGTCATGTTTGAATAGCAGAAGAGAGAGGAAACAAATTACCCCTACTGGTTTCTGAAGAGGTTCTACCAAACCCACAAGTTGTTGGACACCAAAGTGAAAGTCGTTTTAACATTTAGCACATTTTGATTATCTGCCAAGAAGAACCACCTAGAAGATGACAGACTTGTGACCAAGATCAAGGGGATTAGCAGCTTCTTCGGTAGCCTCCCCCCATAAAAGGCTGGCTCGAGGTCTTCCAAACTTCTCCCAGCATGGAAGTGGAGAGCCACAGCGATCTGCTCTGAGAGTGGAACAGGACCAGGAGATGGTCCTCCTTAAAAACTGCGCATAATCTATGCTGGCTGCATTAGGAAGTGGAAGGAAAATTCACTGCCTGAGAAAACTCTTTGTTGGGTTTATTTGTCATGAGAAGCAAAATACAGGGTGTTGCCTGGAATGGGGACATCTTGGCCACGTTATTCCGAAGAATAAGATAAATGTGAGTCCCCCATGTTCCAATTAGAAATGTTTTTCACTCTCTCGGATGGCAATGTTCCCTATTGTAGCTTACACTTCCTGGTCCTCTGAGCACTGGCTCCTAAATGCAATTCTTTGGGGAGGCCCCAGAGACAGAAGATTTGAGGTGGGGCATGGGACACCAGGGAAGTGGGACTGGTGGACCTGGGAAAACAGGACCCCATGTGTGTGAGGTGGGGGAGACAGCAGTTAGGAGCTCCTGTGATAGGATGAGGCTGGCTTACTGTGCCGGTATCCTCTGACATCCGGTTTTCAGCTGTTTCCCGTTTTGCGGTATCGTATGCCTTTGTCATGTTCCTCCTACGCCAAACCATTTTGCAATTTTATGTCCAGTAACTCTGCCTGAGCCTTGGTGGGGTGGTGTACTGGGTAAAGAAAAAGAGACCGTGTTCAAGTTTGGGGCAAAATGCAGCAGTGCATGGGCCCCAACGATGACAAAGACATTAAGGGTACTGGACAGAAGCAAGAGGAAAGGTTAGGTGACTGTCAGAAAGTATAAGCCCTCCTTCCCAATTTCTTAGAATCCTCAGAAATATTCTGGAGAGGACTGAATTCACCAGAGAAATGTGTGATGTTGAGCCTTGGGTTATTGAAACTGGATGGTGAAGGACAGGGTGGTTCTAGGGGCTGGAGGATTGCTGTCCAGGTATTCAGGAAACATGTGTGCTGCAGTTAAGAAATATTTCCACCCTAGAAAGCCAAAGCCATAAAAAAGAACCCCCTCCCCACCTTCCCATATTTATTCCCAAAGAGGTAAAGTCTTTGCTAGCCAAAAAATTTGACTTCCTGGATTAAGTAAATTTCTGGAGGGTTCCCCACAGTTAAGGCCTTCCCAGATTTGACTCTTAAGGATATTTTTACCAATGTTTGTTTCCAACATTCCAGATTGCCTGCCTTTCCCCGAGGGCTGGGACTGTCCCTTACTCACCTGTGTGTCTCCAGCACCTAGCACAGTGCCTGGCATATGGTAGGGCTCAGAAGGTATTTTTTCCTGGTGAGTGAATCCTTAGTAACGAAAGTCCTTTGAAGATTCCAAGGGCTGCATTCGAGCGCAGGACGCCGCCTGACTGGCCAGCAGCCCGGGGGCCCATGAACAGGACTATTCCTGAGTAGTGTGGTGGAGCGTCGGGGCCTCATGAATCCATCCACAACTGTCCCATCCTACCACCTGATATGTCTGCAGAACTGAAGCGCCGAGGTGTGACACTGCTTTAATGTTCCCATCAAGAAAATGGGGGTAAAAATGCCTTACCCGGCGGGCTTATGAAGAGGATTAAACTGGACAGAGTAACTGTCCAGGAAATTTTAGTTTCCCCCTCTTCCCTTCCTGTCTTGTCTAACACTTTCCTTCTGGGAACTTCCCTCCTCTTCTCTGCCGGTTTCTGGTGGGACTGTTAACCTGGTTGGCCCCAACCTGGCCAACCAGAGTGTCCCATTGTTCCAGGACCCAGTGATTGGCCCAGGGGTGAGCATGTGACCCAAGCAAGCCAATGGGAATCTTTTGAAAGGGTTGATAGAGATGCTGGGTTTCTCTCCTTCCCTGGGTCCCTGGGCTGCAGGGTGATGGAGCCATGGAGTGGCTCGTGGCCAGCATTGCCCCATGGTGCCTACTGGACATGTGGCAGATTTGAGAGATGGAGAGGCTGGGTGCTGACACATTGTTTCCACTCCTGCATCCAGCTTTGCCTGAAGCCTATGCATCTTTTGATTTCTCCATTCCCTGAGTTCAGTATCCTCCTACTTCCTGTTAATCCAATTTTGTCACTTCTAATCCAGAGGGTCCTGATAATACTTTATCTCTGTCCTTCTTTCCTCTTTTCTTCCTTCCTCTCTCCCCCTTTCTACTCCGTTTCTCCACCCTCCTCCCATGCTTTCCTTTCTCTCAGTACCTAGCCAGGACCTCGGCTTTGTTCTTATCTTCCTGTCCATTCGTCACTTCAATGGTGTCCTCATATAACTGAGACAGTGACTCCTGCACATTTAAAAATAATAATGAAAAGATCCTTTCATGACTCACAGGCACACAGCTCTCTTAGGAGCACGATGGGCAGGGATGTTGACATTTTGGATCAGGGAATGGTTATCCTTCAGCCGCAGTCCAAGCCATACTTCGCATTGCTGGCTTCGACCTCACTCATTTTTGTCTTCATGTAAATAAAACCATTTTGTTTTCACGTATCACGAGAACCAGGCTTTGTTGATCCCCTGTCCAGGTGTGTTCTGAATGCGTCTCTAGCTCCCGCTAGTGGCTGACATGGCTAAGGGCTGAACTGGCTGGGGCTGAGCCTGTCAGGTGAGAAGTCCCACCCTGGAGATGGGGTTGAGGATGATTGAGGCCGACTGTCCCATCTCTGGGTCTGGCACCCCAGGACTCCACTGAACAATCACAGGCAAAGGATGTCATCTGCCTCCTGGGGTCTCTTGAGCAGTGGGTGGTCTTGTCTGCCAGTGGGGAGTTTGTGGCTATCGACAGCGTTGAAATATTGTTCTTAGAGGAGCGGGGATGAATTAGTCCGTTAATTTGCTCGTGGTCTAAAACCCAAGGAGCACCTGTTTGAGCCATAAGGGGCTTTTTTTTTGTGGCTGGAGGGAAGCCCAAGTTGACGGTTTGATTACAACCATCAGCAGGGGTTGTCTGGAAGCTTCATGGAGAGGAGGCAATGAATCACCACCAGGCACAGTGGCTCAGGTCCCCTGTGTAGTTATCCCCATTGCCCTCAGAGCCAATCTCTTTTTCCAGAGGGCGGTGGCTGGAAGTGGGTTAGCACAAGCCGGCTCCTTTGCTCTCCCTGGGCCAGCTAACCAGGGCTAATGATCATAATGACAACAGCTCTGCTTTACAGCACACTTACTGTGTTCCTGCTGCGCTACATCCATTATCTCCGGCCTCCCCAACTTCTGTCGTTCAAATACCACCTTCAAGATCTTTGCTGTTTGTGGAACGCTGGTCCTGTTATTTTCTTCATTAAAAAATACAATAGTTATTTTTTTCCCCTTAAAATAAATGTACTTAAAAAGTAAACATTCCAAATGGAAAAACATCTTCTAAATGGAAAACTAATAACACCTGCCATGAATGGGAGGAAACCATAAAAATACGATGTGAAAAATATAATTAGAGACTTCTGGTTTCTGGCCCAGCGTGTAAGAAGCTGAAAGACGCCACTCCATCCTAAGAACAGGTAAAAAGCTGAACAAACTGAAAAAGCACCGGCTCTTCCTCTATCTGTCAGAGAAGTGAGGTCACAGGGCAAACTGCCGCCCCCCAAACTGGAGATACTGACAGGCAAATCCAAAGAAACACAACTTACCTGAGCAGAAACTTCCGCAGAGGCCAGCACTGGGGTCGGGAAATCTGAACTCTGGTGATTTGCTGAAGCTCAGTGTGAACAAGCCTGGGAGAGAGAAGCTCCAGGAGTACCTGTGTCAGGGCCCCAACACTTGTGTGAATTTTACCTGGAGGAGCTTGGCCATGTTTCCACAGTGAGCATGGGCGGGGCGAGGGGTGGGGATCGTGGACTCACTCTGGCTTCCAGCAGGGGAGGGAAAAAGGAACCATTTTGAAATACACCAGAGCATTCAGTTCTTAATCAGGCCTGCCCCCGGGGAGAAACGAGTTCACCAAAGTCTAACCTCCTGGGGATTTACCAGCCCCTAACTGACCTGGAGGAAGGGAAATGCCCAACTCCCAGCTCACAACAGCCATTCTGTCCCACCTAAGGGGAAGAAAAAAAATCAGAAACACTTGTGAAGTTCACAGCCCAGAGGCACAGGCTCATTAAAAGACTGACACCTGAGTATAGGCTAAAGGACCCTTCCCCTCCCCCAACTCCTCACCATTTTACCAAAGGCCTACTTAGAGCATGTCCTTTTAGCCACCTGGTACATCATATTCACTTATAAATAAAAAAGTTACAAGGCATGCCAGAAGACAAAAAACACAATTTGAAAAGACAGAGAAAGTATCAGAACCAGATTCAGATATGGCAGGGATACTGGAGTTATCAAACCAGGAACTGAAAACAACTATGATTAAGATGCTAAGAGATCTGATGGATAATGTAAACCGCATGTAAGAACAAATGGGCAATGTAAGTGGAGAGAAATTCTAAGAAAGTACCAAAATGAAACGCTAGAGATCAAAAACACTAAGAGAAATGAAGAATGCCTTTGACAGGCTTGCTAGTAGACTGGATATGGCTGAGAAAAGAATCTCTGAGCTTGAAGATCTCTCAACAGAAACCAGCCAAAGTTAAAAGCAAAGAGAACAAAAGATTAAAAAAAAAAAAAAACCAGAACAGTATATCCAAGAACTGTGGGGCTACTACCAGAGGTGTAACACACGCATAATGGGAATTCCAGAAGAAGAAAGAGAGAGAGAAACAGAAGAAATATTTAAAACAACAATGACTGAGAGTTTCCCAAATTAGTTTTAGGTAACAGATTACAGATCCGGGAAACTCAGAGAACATTGAACACAGTGAAATGCCCCTAAAACTACATCTAGGCTTATCATTTTCAAACTACAGAAAAATCAAAAATAAAGAAAAAATCCTGAAAGAAGCCATAGGAAAAAACCACAATACCTATAGAGGAGCAAAGATAAGAATTACATCCAACTTCTCCTGAAAAACTGTGCAAGCACGAGAGTGAAGTGAAAGGTTTAAAGTGTTGAGAGGAACACACCCGCCAATCTACAATTCAGTTCCCTGTGAAATTATCTTTCAAAAGTGAAGAGGAAGTAAAGACTTGCTCAGAAATTGAGGGAATTTGTTGCCAGTATACCTGCCTTGCAAGAAATGTTAAAAGAAATTCTTTAAAGAGAAGGACAATAATGTAGGTCAGAAACTCAGATCTACATAAAGAAAGAAGAGCATCAAAGAAGGCAGAGGTGAAGGTAAAATAAAAACTTTTATTTTGATTATTAATTGATCTAGAAAATAAGTTTATTTAAAAACACAGTAGCAACAATGTATTCAAGTATGTGTATCTCTCTACATAACCTTTTGTGTGCTTATGTATAAGTGAAATGAATGACAGCAATGATACAAGGGACAGGAAGGGAGACTAACACTAGCCCCCAAGTCTGAAGAAGTGGGTGCCAGCTCAGTGCCATGTGGGCTGTCTGCCACCCCACACAGGTAGCAAGAAGCCCCCGGAGAGACGGCCAGAGTTGGTCACATCATTTTCGAGCAAGAAGGGATCTTAGGGAGCCTTTTAGCTCAGCTTCCTGAGCCCTTGGTGAGGGGCGGTTCTGGCACTCCCTTCCTGGTGTGACACCGATAGACCTGCACACCCTCCAGGACCCCAAGCCCCCTGCAGCCTCCAAGCTGCCGTTCATCTAAGCCATTCTCTTCACAGAGGGGCCAACCCCAATTCCAAACAACACCATACAATTGCAGCCTTATTCCCATTATCTAAGAAATGAATATCTTGGTATATCTTTTCCAATAATAGGTTTCATTAAATTAAACCCACAGCACTGACAGTCCCTGGAAATAGCAGGCTGATTCAGTTTGGCAGACCTGTGCTGAATTTCTGTAGAAACCATCACATGGGTTTCTGAGGCTTCTGGTGATCAAGGGCATAGGCTGCCGGGGTTTAAATCCAGGCTCTGCCACCTGTGGCTGTGTGACCATGAGCAAGTCACATCACCTCTCTGGTCTTAGCATTCCCATCTCTATAATATGGTAACAGCAGTTCCTACCTCCCAGGATTGTTGTGAGGATTAAATAAATTCACATTAACGCTCCACAAGGTTAGCTGTAAACATGTACACACAGACTTATAGTGCAGCTCTTGTAGGAAAAGAGACGTGGCCAGGAAACTCATTGCCACCCAACAGGATGCAGGGAAAGTGGTTATTTCTTTAAAGTTGAGAGCAGGAGGAAGCTGCCCTAGACCCTCTCCCCTCTCCTTGCTTTGTTTTGTCTGTCAAGCAGAGGCCTCCTTTCCACTCTATTTCTTAACTGAGTAAACTTCATGATTCTAAACGCAAACACACCCAGGGCAGCACAAACAAGCACTGTTCTCTGCACACACAGCTTCCAGGAGAGCAAGATGAGTGACGGGTTGGCTGCTGAGAGACAGAGATGGAGCCCGAGCAGCTGCTGCTTTTTGCCAAAAGGCCCTGCAGGTTCGACCCATTTGCTCCTTCTTTGTCAGATTGTTCATTCACTCATTCATTCATTCATTCATTGACTCATTCATCCATTTATTCATTCATCTATTCAAATATTTGGTTTCCTGTTTCATGGGCTGGGATTTTGGCCCCTCATTCTCACTAATCTGTTAACTCCTTGATATCTTCAAACGGGTATTTTTAAATTTTTGTCCAGATTTTATTATTTTTAAAATTTTCTATTTCTTTCATTTCTTCTCATATTTATTTTATTTTATTTTTGGCTGCATTGGGTCTTTGTTGCTGTGCACAGGCTTTCTCTAGTTGTGGCGAGTGGGGGCTACTCTTTGTTGCGGTGTGCAGGCTTCTCATTGTGGTGGCTTCTCTTGTTGTGGAGCACGGGCTCTAGGTGCGTGGGCTTCAGGAGTTGTGGCACGTGGGCTCAGTAGTTGCCATGCGAGGGCTCTAGAGCGCAGGCTCAGTAGTTGTGGCGCATGGGGCTTAGCTGCTCCGCAGCATGTGGGATTTTCCCGGACCGGGGCTCAAACCCATTTCCCCTGCATTGGCAGGTGGATTCTTAACCACTGCGCCACCAGGGAAGTGCCAGATTTTGTTATTTTTTAAATGAGAGGATTGGTTCAGAGACCCTAGCCTGCCATTGTTGGAAGGAGAACTTTCCCCAAACTACGTACATGAAAACTTGGAAGCACCTTAAACCAAACAATGGGGGTCCATTATGGTATATCCAGGTAAATGGAATAATACACTGCCACTAAAAGTGTTAAAATATATTATTATTATGCTAAAATACTAAAAATAAAATTTTGAAGAAAAATCAGAGTATAAGTTTTTTATATTATCCCCATTTTTTGCAAAAATAAAATGTCTGTCTGAGCATAGATGGCTAGGAAGAAAGAGATCAAACTATTTATAGTGGTTACTGCTCAACAGCTGGGTTTCTTCTCCATGTGCTTCTATAAATCCTAAATTTTATGCCTAGAGAATATATTACTTCTATAGTCAGAAAAATTAGGAAGAAATATTTACCTTTGCTTCAGACATGCAGAATTGCTGGGTTATATCGTGCCCCTGTGTCCTTGGTCGTTTCAAACCAAGAAGCTTTGTAAACCTGATTTTCTCTGAGTCTGGGGGGAGGTGAGGAGGGCGCTGGCTGTGTCTCCTGGATGTTTTGCTTGCTGTTAAATGTCTTATCCTATCTCTGTCTCATCAGTACCTCTTGGTGAGCACTTATTGACAAGTCATTGCGTGCTAATCACCACACTAAATGGAGCCAGTTATGAAATGTTTGTGCTGGATGGGAGCTGAGATACTGTAACTAGAAGAAGCCTTTGGCATGAGACACACAAGCCCCAGCTGGGCTGCTCTAGATGGCGTGTGTGTGTGTGTGTGTGTGTGTGTGTGTGTGTGTGTGTTCAGGGGGAATTCCACCCGTCCCTGAGGTCCCCCATCCTCTCCCTAGCAGGTGGCTTCTGGGGCAGGCTTGTGGGGCCCAATGTCCTGTAGAACATCCTGTGAACACAGATGCTCTGGGCTTCTCCCTGTGGAGGTGGGGCTCTCACCCCCCCGCCCCCCCCCCCCCTCCCCCTAGGTGAGGCCACCATGTTCTCTTCACAGCACACTGTTCAAAACCCTCCATGCTGCCCCGCCCGTGGCCCTGCCCACCAGGCCCCTCCATGTGGCCCTCGACGCCCCATGCCTTGTCAGTCATTCTGTCCTTCAGATGTACCCTGGCCCTTCCTGGCACAGGGCATCCTATGTCACAACTTCTCCCTCTGCTGGGTCACCCCTTTCCACTTATCTGCTCCCTTCACCTGCCCACCCCTCCACTCTCCTCTGAGATGCCCCACTCGGTGAAGTCACCACGTTCACTCTTCGCAGCATCACGCGAAAGGGGCACCGTGACTCACCCGTGTGGGGAGAGCCCCGGGCATCCTCAGGGCCTCGTCTCAAGCTCCTGGCCTCTCCGTGTCGTGTCCCGTTTTACTAACGGGGGCGGCCCACGGGGGTCTCAGGAGAAGAGTCACTCTAGGAAGGAGCTCAGAAGGCTGGCTGGTGGGTGTGAAATGCAGGCACGTAGCCGTCACCTGAAGCTGGTTACTGTCACAGCGTCAGGGCAGGGCTTGCCCGCCATCTACATCCAGGCCTCCTCACCACTCCTAAAAGCTCTGATTTCTGGTTCAAGGCTTCCTTGCCCTGAAAAGGAAATGCAGCCCTGCAGCCTCTGCAGCCTGGCCCCTTGAACTCGCCCTCGTACTCGCCTTCTCTGCAGACATTGCCTCAGATGCCGACTCACTTCCCTCCTCTCGATTCCGACCCCAACAGAGAGGCTGGTCACTGGCTTTCTCCATCCATTTCTGGGGTGTTGCCCCAGCAGGAAGGAGTGGTTTCCTGTTCACATCCTGTGCTTTGGGCCTTGTGAAATCCTGGTGGACAGCGACGCCCAGCAGGGCTGAGTGTGCCTGACGGCTGCCGCGGTCCAGCTCACCCGTCCTGAGAATGAAACACTGAGAAAGGGTGTCGCCCCAGTGGGTCAGGCCAAACCAGTAGTTATCACAGCCCGGGGCCTGGGGACCACGGGTCCGCTGTGCAGCCATTTGGCTGATGGTAAACTTTTACTCCACAGTGCAGAAGCCATTTAGCACCTTTGAAGAAATTGGAAATGTGTGTTTCATGTGTGGTGGTGCTGAAAATTGAGAATAGTGACAGAATTATTAACAACAGGCTTCCCGGGCTTGGACTCTTAATTGCCTGTGGTCTGTAATGCCGACAAGCGCTGCAGAATCCAAACGTGAAATACTTAGTCTTGGGAGCCTGAGAGAATGGCTCCTAATTCTTTTGTTTATTGGTTGTGAGAACTGCTTTTGGGGTAGAGAGATGTTGCAAAAGCAAGAAAGAGCATAGAGCTCAGAGTCACGGGGCCGGGGTTCCCACCCTGATTCTGCTCTCAGGAAGCAAGGTAAACTGATGCGGGCAAACGCACTCTGTGCAACAGTGCATCTTGCGGGGTTCTGCCATGGCTCTGTAGGCAGCTGGGCTGGGGAGAGGCTAAGCTAAGGTTGAGCAGCGGGCTTTCCTGCGGGACTTCTCAGAGCCTTTAACAGCATTGTAATGACAGGTGATATTTATTAAGCACTTACTCTGAGCCATCACAGTGCTAACAGCTTTGCACCTGGCCTCATTTTTATCCTCATTAACAGGTAGGAGAGGAGAAGCTGGGGCTTAGAGATTACACAGAACTTCCCTCCTGTTCACAGAGCTAGTGAGTGGAAGTGTCTGGTCTTTACCTTGGGTCTTTCTGACCAGAGAGCCTGGGCTCTAACCGTTATACCTCTGTCTCTCTATCCTGTCCAGAGAACCCTGGGGGGAACCTTTAAATCATGTAGTTCAGTGCTCCCATTTTCCAGATCAGAAGATGGAGGCTTCTCTAGGCCTCCGAGAGGATGAACTGCAGGGCTCCTCTCCTCCGTCCTCCACGGTGCCCACATCCCTCTTTCTTTGGTGCTCCCGTGGGGCCCCATGGAGTAGGAGGGGGAGGGCATCTGGGCCATCTGCACAGGTGTTGGTAGAACGTGCCCTCAGGTGCCTTACTGCCTGGCTCCACCCCCTGTGCTGTGCAGCTCTGAGCGGCTTACTTAACTCTCTGTGCCCTAACGCCAGCGTCTGTAATAGTGCCCCTGACTCACAGGCTTGAGGTTGATAACAGAGTTAAGATGTGAAATGGGGAAAAGTCATAGCTGCAGGGCCAGTGACTTTCCCAACCCACCTGTGGCCTAGAACCTGCCCTACTCAAGGGATGGGTCAGCCAGGCGGCTCCTGCCAAGGGAGGAATAAGACTGGCAACGACTTCTTCCTAGAAGGAAACAAAAGCTTGTGTGAGACTGGAAAATAAGGCATGTCAGTGAGTGGCCAGCAGATGGCAGAAGCAAGCCAGGAAAGGGAGCCTCTGCCCCGCCTGCTGGCAGCAGCTGCCTTGGAAAAATCCCGTGGTGTTTGCTTGTTGTATTAAGAGATCTCCAGTGTGAGAGCCATCCTTCATCCTGAGCAGGATTCTAAACAAACAGCATTGGCTTTGTGGCCGGCACCAAGGACCCCTGGGCTCCCGTGTACTCCCAGTGGGCACCGATGCCCACTTGCTCCCAAAAGTCGGCCCCCTGCAGAGAGGACTGGCCGTTCTCTCTGCTCCTTGACCGCAGAGAACATTCCTACTGGTGCACCAAGGCTCAGAGAGATGCTGCCTTTAAACAGGGGGCTCTTGACAGTGCTTCCATGAGGCCCGTCCTGCTCCTGTGGTTGACCATTCACTCACCAACACGGATTTATGGGCCTCAACTGTGTGCCTGGGCCTCTTCCAGGGTCTGGAATGCAGCATGACCAGCACACACCAGCTCCATGACCGCCAGGAAGCTCACATTCCAGTAGCAGGGAAAGAAAATAACTAGCAAGGAGTTAAGGTAAAGTGGGATCCCACAAGGCACAAGAAAGAAAACCGGATTAGTGAAGGTGAAGAGGGTGTCGGGTGGGATTTATTTGAGGCACAACTTTAGGGAGGGTGGCCAGGGAAGGAAGGCTGAGACCTGAGTGGCCAGAAGGAGCCACCGCCCGGGGAGCTGGGGGGCTCCCAGGCAGAGGGGGCAGCTGGCTTGACTCTGGAGGCGGGATGGGCTTGGGTGTTCAGACCAGAGAGGAGGCCAGTGTGGCTAAGCAGCATACACTGCGGGGAGGGGAGGGGAGGACGGGGGTGGCAGGGGCCCAGGCACCTGCAGGGAGGGTCAGGGGTGGGAATTCCACCTGCAGAGAATGTGAAATTGTCCAAATGGTTCAACCTGACCAGTTCTGTGCAGTTCCCTGAGAATCCGGTTCTGACCCTCGCAGACCCTCTCATTCCACCGGCCCCTCCCTCCAGTGGATCAGGCTGCCCAGGCATCTGGAAATATCTTCAAGTCTTCAAGCGGCTCCTCGCTATGTCTTGCTGACATCATTTCCAGCGGTCTCCTGTGGGTGGCTGCCCCCTCTCTCACCTGCACATCTGGCTCTCGCCTCCCCACCAACCCCCCTTTCAGCCCCAGGTCTAGGGAGGCCCGGAGCAGTTTCCTGGGGCCTCTTGGGGGTGCTCAGGCCAGGCGGAGCTGGCGCCAGAGGCCTCCATCCTCCCTTCTCCAGTTTGACACGTTCCTCTCCCGGCGCTTTAAAGCCGAGACGTGGTCTCCACATCTGAGAAAACAGTTAAACTGACAATTCCTCGCAGACTCTGGTTCAAATCCTTATTAGGCTGTTAAGTGACAGGGGATTTCACTTCCTTCCAGGGGCCTTCGTTTCTGCCAGTTCCCAGGCCTCCCCTCAAGGCCTTGCCCATCCTGTCCTCCTGCAGTCGCCTGATGTGGCCAGGGAAGCAGCCGGGGGTCCTGGCAGCCTCTGGGGAAAGTGGGACCCGTGCAGTAGGGCTGAGGGTTGGGAGTCCCAGAATGGGGCCCAGGGGAGGGCGGGGTGGGGACCCAGAAGTGACCAGCAGGTAGTAACTGAGGGGTCCTTGGAGAATGTGTTCTGGTGACACGGCCATGGAACGCCTGCCTCCTGTCTGTGCTCTGGACATGCACAGAGAAGTACCTATAAGCACGCATCCATACATACAGACACACATATATATACTTACACATACACACATAGACCTATGCATAGACATACACATATACACACACATATACACACACACGTGGACACACACGCATAGGCATGTACATATGCATACAGACACACATACATGTACATGTACATATATACCTATGCCTACATGTACACATAGATACACATATACTCCCAGATATGTGTATACCTACATGTACACATACGGATGCATATATAAACAATGTAGATATATACCTACATAAATCACCCAGCCTGGGTCCAAACCCAGTTCACTGAGGTCAGCAGGGCCTTTGGGGAGCTGCCTGCCCGCTCTGGGCTTAGTTCTCATCTGCAGCGGGACAGGGTGACGGTGCATTTTCAATGAGAAGATGCATGTGGCACACGTTCCCAGTGGAGACACGGCCACAGCATCCAAAGGGCAAGGGCTGCGGGTCCCTGTACCCGGGAAGCACAGGTGCACCTGCTGCAGGTGACCAGGCATTGTGACCCTGGCCCGTGCCTTTGGGGCACACTTCGAACACGAGACTTCCTGGGGGCGCACACGGCCTGCTGCACAGAACAGTGGATTTGAGGACAAACCGAAACAAACTTTCCAGCGGAACCCGGGGCTCTGCCTGTCCTGTCTGAAATCAGTGTCCCACTTAAGGAGGCACAGTCCAGCCACCAAAGGCCCTCAAGGTGAGTGAATCCCCAGTGTGAATTGCTCAAGGAACTTTCAAAAGGTCCGGTTAGTATTCCTCTCCACACCTTAACCCCTCTCCTGGCTTTCCCCTCCCCCACGCTCTCTCACCGGTGCCTTTTCCGGGGACTTCCTCTTCCCCAAACTCTCCGGCTGAGGCATCCTCAGGGGTCCTTGTCCTGCTTTCTGCTCCACGTTTTCCTCCTGCCTCGTCCCTCCTCCCGGTGATGTCACACCAGCCTGGGCTGGCGTGGGGATGAGGTGGATGTGGGGAAAACAGCGGAGGGGCCGTTTTCTTGAGCAGGTAAGGGGAAGAGGAAGGCTGGCCCCTCCCCCCGTGGTCAGAGTCGTCCCTGTGACAGTTATTGCTCAAGGAACTTTGGGGAGACGAGACCAAGTACTGAGCACCTCGCCACACACACTTCCATGACCTGAATACTCACCTTAATGACTTGTCAAAATATCCCCCGAATTCATTCACAGAATAAAACTTCCCTGAGATGGATCTGTGAGGATGTGCCGTGGAAAGCACGGCGCGGGTGTGAGGCCGGATGCAGGCCGGGCGCAGGCGGGCGAGCGCTGCCAGTGCACCTGGCTCTCCTCCCATCAGGCCTCACACACAGGCTGTGCAGGCAGGTGTGTGTGTTATACCCCCACCTCCCGGGCTGAGCCCTCCGTGGTGCCCTGCTTGCTCCTGCAGGGCGCTGGGGGTACTCCCAACCGCGCTCTAACTTAGGGAGAGCCTATCTTCAATCTGTGTCTGCATTTGTGGGGTTACGTTTTATACCTGCCCCTTGCAGTGTAGAAAGCAAATAGATTTCGAATCTGATTCTGTTCAGTGCAGTTAAATACTGCATGTAAACATTCCCCTCCATGAGTTCATTCGGTGTGGACTAATTAGAAAGTAGGTGTTTTACAT